TGAGCATGATCTCTTTGGACTCCGTCCAATCTCCTGTTCCCTTCGCACCGGAGAACACGAGGATATTCGCGATAGCATCGACGAATAAATGACCGGAGCTCGACTCGAAGTTGGATATAAGCGCTCATAAATAACACGGCTGACAATGATGGAAACGACGGGAAAGAATTATGAGCGATCCCGCAGGTCGGGATGTCGCGGGTTAAGGATGAAAACGATCGGCTTACGTAACGGCGGAGTTTATCAAGTTAGGTACTAATCCCGCATGTAAGCGCAGCGCGACCGAAACGCTATAGGCATCGGTACGGGCGATTAACTTATTGGATCACGTAAATGCGCCCCACGAGGAAAAGTTTCGAAACGGCACCACGGGGAGGAGGGGAGCGAAGGGACAGGAGGATCCGGGGGCACGATTGCGCCGCAGCCGCAACGCGAAATTTCCGCCGAACTTATACGCGCGAAGATCGATAACCGCCGCTGTGCTGTAACGTTCGGTTTTGGTAATTAGCGGCGCGCACATTTTCCAGATGGATTCGAAGCCGGATTTATACACGAGCTAATACCAGCCGCGGCTTAGGAACACACGGTTCGTCGGAAAAACGCGAATCGACGGTATTGACGAAAAATGGCGCAGCCGCAAAACTATGACTTCTCCCGGGAGAATCGTTTTTATCTCTCTATTGTTCAAAAACTATTGTCTAAAAGATAGCAAAAAGTTATTGATGGCAAAGGTCAATAATTTAATTAAAATATTATGTTATTTCATTGTTAATTTCATTATGAATAAATAAAAATCTTTAATATCATACGAACTTTTGCACGCACCTAATATTAAATAAATACGAAGTAAGTACACATGTGTGTGGAAATTACAGTTCTAAAATCTTTTTCTCGTGGCACATTTCGGAGACAAAATGACGTTAAGAGCTAATTACGATCGAAAAGGCTCGAAAATCCAGTTACAATATTTTTAACCAGACTGTCACGGAAGTAATCTATAAATAATCTATTTTCGATTGAAATATTTTAAATTTATCGGTACTAAAAGGAAGAAAGGGAAATTCGTTGGCAGTGTGGTTTAAGTCCATGACGTATTCAATTCCGGTACTGAATGGATCGCAAGCTTGTCGGAGAATTCTTCATTAAAATTACAAAGTAAAGGTTCTTCTAGGCAGTGACTGCCTATATATTTTTATCCTGATTCCTCGATGCATAAATTTGTGTTTCCAGAAAGCGAGTTCGATAAAATTGACTCCGACGTCTTTCTTCTGAAATGTATCAATTAATTATGGCTTTAATTGCTAATACTATCTCTTACGTATACGGAGATTCATGCGCGAAATTTCTGTGGAACTTATAGAAGATCGATAACCCGCGCTATATAACGTTCAGTTTCGCTAATTACTGGCATACCATCAATATACATTTTTCGCATTCCATCGGCTCCTCGTTAAACGTTCGATAATATTAAAGCACCGACCGGCCATTTGACTAGCTGATTAAAATAATTGTTGCGCCCATTCGGCAGAGAATTAATCGACTCGATTTCATCGCGCATCCGTATTTTCTCCGGGAAAAGAAAAATTATTTTATCCAGAAATCGCAAGGAAAAACGGATTTACGCACATCGAAGACTCTCGACATTTCCCGAAGGGGTATGACTTTAAGAGCAATATAAATATTATTAGCTCCGTCACACGTTCTAATGAACTGATTCAGCGCTAAATACAGCCGTTCCGATCCCCGTGTCGTTTACAACGAGTTTCGTTATTTTTAGATTGTTCGTCAGAAAATTTTGTTATTATTTCTGATGAAGCTCTTCGACCGGTGATTGGAAATCCCGCGTCAATCGAATTTCCAGGCATATGCCGATGCTTTTAGCTCAATATTGATGCGCTCCTTTATCTGCTCTTATTAAATATGGTACTCATTGATCCACTTATCATAGCAGCGCGCGCGTCATCTCTATCAATCCCATTTCCATAACGATCCTCGCAAACGAGGAGTCTACCTTTTATTTACCGTCCTCCTCCCGCATTGTATTTCTCTATTGTGCGCTTTCATTGCGTGTTTTATGCGTTTTCTTCCTAAAAAAAAATAAATGGAGGTTTTTTTCTCATAGTTTTCACGGCGGATATGATATTTCGAGGAAAAGGAAAGCGAAAGTGAAAACAGACCGGAACAACGGGAAATTATTTTAAGCACGTGAAAATGCGCGGGGATGATTATTTCCAGGATGGCGCCGGGTCTGTCTCTCTTCCTGTTCCTCGTCATATATCCGGATTTTACGTTGACCGTTAGGACAACTAAGAAGGTTAAAGTTATTCGTAAAACGCCTGGATATTATTTTTATCCTCCTACGCGAGGTCACACTTTTTTTATCAAGATCCAGCCGGTACGTCATGGAGTACCACCTGTATCGAACCGTGCGAAAGAATAAATATATTGATTTTCGCCGTCCTATTTACCGCGACACATACTCGCATTCAACATTGCGTTATGCCAGATTACAGCGGATTCGTTTCACAATGTGTTTCGATGCGCAAAAGTTCGCGAGCAGATTAACGGGACTTTCTCGCATTCTCAAAGCGCGAATAGATTATTTCGTTTCATGACATTAATAAAAAAAATTACAGTGGATATTACACCCGATATTACAACAGTCCATTTAATATATGAAGTTCTTCGGTGTATAAAAATGCGCGGAAATTACTTCTTAGTATCTTATTCTCCAGCAGACATTAGAGATAAAGTTGGAGGAATGCTGTAACTAAGGTTTTAATCTTCCTCTCGAGACAGCAATAATTTCTAAACGGAGAAATAATAAGGGCCGTTTAAGCATCAAGATGGTGAACGTTAATTCCGGCATGATTTTCTTTATCACAGGTTAAAATTTTACTTGAAGTTTATTCACTGGTGCAACTATCGTTGAAAATTAAAAAGTTGCCTCGATAAGCACAATCAAATGTATCGTTCCTGAGGAAACGAATTCATCGAAAAGCTCGCGAACGAATACGCAATTTCTGGAATACCTTACGTACCGCGGCTACACCGCAACCATGGCAACAAAGTGCTTCAAGTGAGATTTCGAACGTACGTTAATCAACGCATAAATCCAATTTAAATCTTATTCTTGCTCGTAAATTCGTACGGCGTGGTATAAATGCCGGGGAAAACCCGGCTCAGGATTTTCCCGTGCGCCGAAACACGACCCATACATATGTATATATCTCCGGCATGGTCGATAAGTCGTTTTGTGAGCAGCATGAATGGCGATGCCTTCGCTGATGTACCATTCACGAGAAACAGCACAGAAAAATCTCATTCCGCCTCGAAGGACGCGGACTGATTTTGCAAGAAAAAATTTCGCACGTATCATTTTTCACCTTCGGACGTGTGCACGCGCAAAGGGGAACCATCGGCCGTAACATGATCGATGGGACCTCTGGCGAAAGATAAAGGATGTCGAAATATAGCACGAACGATCTATCGTTCGTGGCTTATGAGATTTTGATCTGATTCTCCCCGCCTAACTCTGTGCAGAGTTGTACCAACCTGCTTTAATAGTAATAACGTCGGCGAGACTATCGGTAATACAATTCACATGTATCATTTCACATGTATCATTTCACGGTATCTGTACCCCCCGTCACGGTGCACGACAGAATCCGCAGATTTAATTTTAATTACGGACGACCAATGGCCGAAATTGAAATCGATTTGGCCGGATACTTAATGCGACTGTTCAACATGCTACGTTTCAGCGAGTGAAGAACATATTAAAATATCACGAGAGCACAGCTCGCTTCAATATCCTCGTCTTTTGCGAGAGACGACCTTTTATTACCCTCGATTACTGTAAACTCGAGAATAAGCGGCAGCAGAAATAATTCGCGAGAAAAATCGCAACCCAAATTCATCGAAGGATCTTTCACTAAAAATAAGATCGGGAATTCTGGGACACTTCGTACGTGCGTTTAATTCTGTACGGAGAAACTGGGTGAAAGAGGTTCGGTGGAAATGGCGAGAAAACTCTCCGTGTGACACCAGGAATTCTGTTACAACACGCGGTCATTTTATTTTTCACGCTAAATCGAGGCATACAGTTTTTTTCCTCGCGTCGCAAAGGTGCACCGCGACGTCGTCGTTTCGATCAGCCCGCGACGGAGCTCGCTCGTCGATTCTCTTTAATTCGCATTGGAACCTAATCCCGCCGTTCGATCGGCTTTTGCATCCATCGGATGCCGATATCTACCGCAACGTTTCCGTTCATCCTCGACATTCAAGCCGAGACGAGCCACACGTAAAAAATCGATAACCGTCTCGATTTACTATGACACACGTCTGCCCTCGCTCGCCGACGAAGAATCCGACTTCCTCGTCCAGTTCGAAATGGTCTCACCGAAGCTTCAGGAAGACTATCGTGGACTAATTATCGAACCAGGCGACCGGCAGACATTAGCTGGCAGAGCTGATAAATGCAGAACTGTATCGCGCCAACTGGATATCAATCAAGTAAATTATCAATTAAGTTCCGTCGTTAGTAGACCATCCATTGGGAGCTGCTAACGTCAATTAATAGATCACCGGCTAAGAGAGGATGGAACTATCGTCGATTAGATCGGATTAATTAATAGATCACTCGTTAAAAATGAGTATACCGCAAGGAGACCGCGGTCGATTAGCGTGGATCAGTTCATACATCGTCAATTATGGACTACCGTCGTCACGACACATCACACTCCGGCGGGCACGCTTTCAAAAGGGGGAGCGGGGATTCTCGACCGAGAAGTTTCCGGCTTTTCCTCGCGACGTGGTTATTGATCTAGCGCGTCGAACGCGGCTCCAAAGACTCGGTGGCCTTAGGCATGCTTGAGGTGCACATTTCATGGTTTGGGTGTGTCGTACGCTGTCGATGGACTTTCGGAGCGACTCTCTCCGTCCGCGCCTCTAAGCGGAGCTTTTACCCGTAAAAGCGCGAGTGTGTGGATCTGACTAACCTCCTATCAACCCGTGCGCGACTTCCTGGTCTGCCGAAGGTCCATCCCGCTATGTGTCGCCGGTGTGAGAAAGACTCGCAAAGGCCGTACACCACGTCTGTCCGCTCGTCTGATCGGTAACGCGCCACTCGGAGAGTAGAGTCGAGCAGCGCGACGGTGGCGGCGATGAACGTCGACTCGGGATGAACTGATACGGAGGAGTAAGAAAGAGGGAGAGGACGAGAGAGAGAGAGAGAGAGAGAGAGAAAGGCCGGAGACACTCGAAGGAGCGAGAAGAGGAATCGCCTGCGAGGGTGGAAACGGCAGACGGACAGACCCTTCGTGATCCGCAAGCTGGCGTGTTCGAACTGCGACCGCTCTGTCGACTGCCGTTCCGGTGGAAGGGGAGGCAGAAGAGGAGGTGGTACGGATAGGGGTGAAAAAGGGGCTAGAGGGGTAGAGCGAGAAGGGCGCAGAAGGGCGAGGGAGGGTTAGTGAAACGTCAAAGCGAGAGGGAGCCACAGTAATAACTAGCTGGCGCATTGAGAAGGAGGCGTGCAGGGGGGAAAGATCTACGGCGGTCAAACGGTGGTTGCGGAGGAGAAACGGCGCTCATGTTATTAAGTTCGCAAAGAGCCGGGGCTAAAAAGCACTATCACGGCTGCGATTAGATCAACGACGGCGATGACGAGCGTTGCGCGACGTTCGTCGCGTAGAGAGGAGAGGGATTATGAGCGAAAGGGGATGAAAACGAGGGAAAGCGACGAGCACGAGGAGGAAGAACGAAGATGGGGAGATTGAATGAAGGGGAAAAGCTGGGGAATGGTCAAGGAGAGCGCGGAAGGTTATCTATGGTACGGAAAAGTCGGAAAGGACGGACCTTTTAATAAAAGCTTCTCGAGCTAGAAGTCATTCTAGCGGCAGAGTGTGTACGCCGTGCGGAACTAAAAGAATCAAGATATTTTCAAGATTAGCGCATCGATACACAAAGGAAAGGAGTCGCCAAGTAGAGGCAAAAGGAAATACGACGGTACAAACGGCATAGCTGGAATCGAAATAAAGATCTCAGACGCCGGATGCATAAAACAGAAAGAGAGAGAGAGAGAATAGTGATCCGAAACTTCCTGCAGGAGTGGAGTCAACGACAGATAAGGAATGCGTAACGCAATATCGAGACGCGAACGGAAAAGAGACGGAGCAGAAAACGTAAAGGAGATGCAGGAGACGGAGCCAGTGGGTGAACCCGCCGAGAGGGACGCAAGAAGAGGAACGGGACGCAGAGTGAGGGTAGATCGTTAGGGTAGGTGCGGGAGGGGACGCTGAAGACTAACGGGGGTGGGGCAAGGACGGGGGTGCGCGCGCCAAGTGGCACTGGGCCATCGATCGGCTGCGCGCGACCGTCCGCGTCGTAGCAGCTGAGCATTTCGCGCTGCACGCAGATTCTCACAGCGCGCGACTTCTCGTCGCTTCCTCGCACTCGCCTAAGCGAGAGGAAGAAGATGACGATGGCGGAGGTGGTGGCGAAGGACGGAAAGCGCGTCGCGTCGTGGGCAGGAGGGGGTGAAACCGCGACAGGGTCAGTAAAGGGAATCGAGGATTAACCGCTCAGAGGGATGCCCGTCTGTACGATTCGTTCGCCGAAAACCCGACACACCGGAAAATGGTGGCTTACGTCGGTGACGGTCCGTGTCTCCAGGCAGGTTTTCGAAAGTCGCACTTTGAGACGGTGCTCTGACCGATGGAGGGTTTTTGGGTCAAATGGGCCTAATCGTGAGGTCGGCGAGTCGCGTTAGCGTACGTACTTCGGCGTACCGCGACTCGCACGGTTGCTTGGTAACACAGGAGTCGTTTCGAGGGAGCTTTAATTGTGAGCGAAAACTATCATTACCTATTTGAAGAAGATAACGTCGGAATCATGAGTGTGTCAATTACCGTCGAATGCTGAAACGAGCAACTTTTGTTACCGAAGATCCATGATGAACTGCGACCGAAAGATTCTTTTAATCTTTTCGAGCAATTTTCGCTCGGGAACGAGGGGAGGCGAAAGACATCCTTCGACGAAAAAATTGCACTCGGGGGGGTCCTTTTGATAAAAAACATACTCTCGTAAATACTAGTAGATGAGATTACTTGAAATTATTTGATTTTTGCCAGAGAGTATTTTTAAAATGAACGAAAAGTAAAACGAGACAAAAACTACGCTGGAAATATTGCACATAAGGATATACTGACTTTGAAGTAATATGATAAACGAATTATATATATATATAGATGAAAAAATCTATAACCTATTACGTATCTTTTAATAAATTTTTTATTGCTTCTCACGGTTATATATAAACGCGATTGTTAATTTTAAGATAATTTTTCCGAATTATTTCTGACCGGTAGAACCGGTGTGACACGATGCAACGTGCTTATCTAACCCAGGCAAATCGCATCTATTCTTACCGCTTCGCGTGACGCGATATCAAAGAAATACACGCCGCATCGATCGCTTTTTCCTTATCCATGTACGAGTGCATTGACGTTACGAGAAACCTGGGACATATTGATCTTATATGAAAAAGCCGAAGGCCAGCTACGGCCGCAAGACTGATAAATACGTTCAAGTTTGCTACCTTATGCAAATTCTTTATTTATTAATTAATGAATCTACCTCGGACTAATTTCAAGGCTGCAAAGGGATTTAATGAAAAGAACAGATTTGTTTAATTGTCTGTTGTATAAATATGAATCGATAAGGCAGAAAGCGTGAATGTAACTTGAATTAACGTAAGCGACTCTGAAAATTTTTCAAATTAATTATTGGCAGTTTTAACAATTCTGTTACTTTATTAATTAGCTATTATTGAGTTCGTATTAATTTGACAGATGAATAATTATTTTCTGCGCGCCGCTATTTCGACTTTCATCTTCCGTCCTTGATAATAATAGCGTTAGCTTATTCGCTATTTCTAGCGTAAAGCACTCGGCAAACTTTTACTTGCGAGCGGAGCAAGTTAAAATTCTGCCAGCATGGTGAGTTTGCAGCGATCCTCTTCAACCTGATCTCGACCGGCGAAAGCGAGCATCGACGTCGCTGCCTCGCGCACAATTGTAAAAACGAATGGGGGAAATGTTTGGCAATAGATCCAATGCTAAAATTAACGACGCCAACTTCGGCTCCGTACAACAAGTAGCGACTAATGGCTCTTTGTAATCGTCCCACGAACGTTGCCGAGCATTAAAAGAAATCCCCGACTTTCCGGCGGTTTCTCGGAACTTGCGAACCGCGAAAGTTGCCTCGGAAAAGCGGACAATGAGCGACAGGTCTCAGTCAGTCGGTCGATCGATGATCTCCGATTTCAGTGCTCAGCTTGAAAACCGGTCCGCTCGCGTGGCGATAATGGCCGCAGCTCGGTCACACTCACGCTGGAAATTTGATTTTATTAATAGGCGGCGATCGATGGTGCGCAATTTTAATGCAATTACGCCGGATCGGACATGAATTGAACGGTCAAGACCGTATAAATAACGGCCAGTAGTTACAATCGGGCACCGATCGGTTCGGAGCCACGTTATCGTCGCAACGATGCCACGTGCGCTCATATGCGTTGTTAAATTCATCACTACTTGGCCCGTGGCATTTATCGCAAAACTTCGCAATCTACGATCGATCGATGAGGGGTCTGAGATAAATTCCGAGCACAAATACACGGGACGCGAAGTCTCTTTGATTCGCGATGGCGATATTGTGCAGCCGATAATGCTCGCGTGATCAAGAAATACGCGCGGAAATGTTGCGCGAATTTACAAGGAAACGCCATTAAGTTCCGAAAACATAGGAAAAACTATTATTAATATTATCGAGCTGCAGATTGGGTATAGACCGGTTGTGCAGAAAAAGCATCACCTGTTAATAACGCGGGAAACTCCATGATAAACTCGTTTTGGTATTTAGGAAAATATTAATTATTTCTTACGATATTAAAGCTTTAGCATTATCAGAGACTTGAAATAGTTCGTTGAATATAAATTCATTAACTCGGAAAATGAGTCATTTTACATGCGCGGAATCAGACAGTTACCTGAAAGGTGGCAAGACAACGATAGCGGATACTTTGATTGATCGAACTTTACGCGCACATAACTTTATTATTATCAATAAAAAAAGATACGGCCTATAAAATCCGACCAACTATGGCGAAAGCCCTTAATATTTTCCGGATATCACGCGACACGTGTCTCAAAAAGTATCCAAATAATTAGGGATGAATGGTTGCACCTTTGGCGCTGCTTCGGCCGGCTCCCAAATGCACCGACGTGATAACGATGCATCGTTATACCGTCGCAGTGAATTATGATTCCACATTCATCACGCGGATAGCATCGAGTTATACAGGTCGCCGCAAATAAAACAAGCGCGTTTCTCTTTGTTTTCTGACAGCGACAACGCCGGCGACTTTGCGCTCTTTTTATGCCGTACATTCGGCACTAAATGCGCCTACCTCCTTTCACCGTGAATTTTTTTCAACAGGAAGGAGATCATAAATTTGCCTGCATGGGACGAAAATTAGAGATCGAATTTTACCGAGATTCTCGCTGCTAACGCAAAAGCCATATTTTCAATTGAGTGTGCTTACCTCCTTCCGACGCGGATTTATTCAATAGGGTCATTGTGTGCGCATGCAAATTCAACTAATGACATCAGGGATCGGATCGAATTCTATCGATTCTCGCCGTCGAGACGTCGCTGTCGTAAGCGCATTCGATGCCATCGGACGCGGAAGCTCGCGCGGTCACCTCGACCGTCAGTCTCGCCCTTGCTGTTTTCGTTGACTCCGACCGCCGCGGAACCTTGTCTGGATTCGAAAACATTCATGACCTACCCCGAGGACGAGATTGCAGTGTTTTCGATGTCAAAGAGTCAGCAGCACTCGCTAGGAAATCTGGCGCCACGCCAGCCGCAGAAAAATAGGTTATCGACCAACCCCTCAGTCTTGGTAATAACTACGACCCCCCCGAATTCGGAAGGCAGAGAGGAGGAGGAGGGGATACAGGGGGCAAGGGGTTAGAGATCCGCATCTGAGAAGTGGAAATCTCGTGCACGACGCCTCTCTCACCACCGACCGACGATGAGCATCATTAAATATACATACAATCATGAGCAGGCAGTGTCAAGTTTCATTAACGCCTTCAATTCCACAAGGGACTCGAGTGTATTTACCGATTATAGTAGCACCGATTAGAGCTTTGGCTGACTTTGGTCACGCAAGACTAATGAGGTGACGAATAAAGGAACGAAACGAGTGAAAGAGAGCCGCCGTCGTTCTACCGAATATGTATTTTTTTTTATTACTTATCTGCGACATTTCTTTTACTTAAACTCTTTCTTGATATTTTTCTGTAAAGGCTCATAAAGTGTTTTCAGTAGTACGTTTCTAATTATTGTGTGATTTCGTGATGGTTTGCAGTATGAAAAAAAAAAAACATGCAAGAAATGTTAAATTTTACAAAATTTTCGGAAAAGTAAACTTAACTCGAGTATGCCATATCCGGTGTAGCTTTCTCGTTACAAACAACACTGTGGATTTCTGGGATTAATTAAAAGAGAAGAAACAAAGATATTAATTTCACACGAGGAAAATACCGCAAGAGATGTTATCATTAAGTTTGCGCACTTCCGCTTAAGATACACGCCTTCAGTTATATCCTCGGTACTTTGAAGTTGTAACGAAGTTATATTTTAGACGGCAACTTCGAGGACGGCTCCCTCGCTATTTTTGAAATTAAACGGATTTAATACACAGCTATTTTGTTCACGTTCTGGAGATACGCGAGTTAATTTGCACGGCGATTAAAGTAAATGGGGAGTATCTGCACGTTGTTACTGTGTACACCTTTATAATCTGTACTGTATACTGTACTGTATACTGGCGTTTTATTAATAATTCAGGGTCGCAGGGAACGCATCGCCCAGGAAAATCACCAGGCTCCTGTCTTGCGGGAATATAAGTGCGCGAATGCGCGCGCGCGCAGGAGAGGTGAGAGAGGGCATGTTTACTCTTATATTATATTATACGCAGCGACTCATCGAGAAGGTCTGTCGCAATTTTCCGTCAAGTTACTTTTACGCAATATTCATTAATTTCTTAATGATTCTCAATAAAACGCTTTCGCGAACATACGAGCTCCGTTCAATTTCAGTATGTGACAAAAAGTTGAACGATATGATAAATATAAATTTAACATGTGTTTGCGAACAGCGTTACATATGTATGCTCGTAGCTCAAGCTCACGTTTACCCCGAATTTTCAATTTTATTCAACACATTTGTTACCAACGTCAGATATGTGACCTCGAATTTTTTTCTATATCCACATAAACGAACCAAATCTGTTTACACAATTACACAATGATTTTATGAAACAAATGCAATGTTGAGACTGTGGGAAAAATTCTGCAGGTAAGTCGTAGTCACGAAAGTGTTAAATAGCAAATAACGAAGGGACAAAGGGGAAGATGGTAAACTATGCGAAACACGATATACCGGACATTCCCAACGTCCGAAATTTCCTCGACACCACATAATACCACGTCCGGCTTGCCTGGGCAGGAAATAATTTTCTACGTAACTCAGGGAAATAGTTTCGGCATCGTTTTATCTGAGAGACCGATAAATTCCCCCGCGTCCTGTCGCTTGTATAATCACTATTTCAAATTTCCATCGGACTTGTTCAGATGATCCAAGTACTTTTCGCCTCACAATTATTGAATCATTATTGTCGCTTTGGACTCACACTTATCGATTCAGCCTGATTGTTAAAAAAAATTCACTCAGCGCTCGGTGTTTATCCAAAAATATACACGTCGTTCCGTTTTTATTTTTACCTGCTTCAATATATTACGAGATATTGCTGAATTATCGATCAGCCACCTTTATATAGATCTCATTTCCCACGTTAATCAACTTGACTCAGCATCTTCTTCGAGAATTGTCATACAAGGTTCAGAAAGTGTTTCGTGTACGGTGGATTTCTATTCCAAAAATAGCCGAAGCAGGCGATCACACACTATCGGGGGAGTTTATCGAGACGAGAATCTCGTTCAACTTCTAATTTCGACACATATCAAGTATCAGCTACTAAGCCAGGAGACACTTTTGCAACAGTGATGAACACGAATAATACATTTGAAGCACGTACCGGCGATACTTCAGTTGCGCTGTTAAAACATTCACAGCGGTTTCCACCGCGCGTCACCGGATATATGTCTGATAAACGACGGTCTGAACGAAGATACGCATACAAAGTGACCGAATTGTTATCGTCATGCGATCTAATGCCGGACTCTTTGACAAATTCGCTTGATGATCCTTTCATACGAGAGAAACTTGAAGGAAAACTTTGTTCGCAGCTTTCCAAAATTCCCTCAACGTATCTAAACATTTCGCATATAAAGCGCTCTCATCAATATTATTCCTCGTCTACTTATTTAATTAAAATTTCATCGTTAAACTCGAACCGTTCCTAAAGGACGATCCTCAATCGACGATTACTTCGATACTAACGACAGCTTCGCCGATTCATTAATAAAGAAACATAGCACTGCGGTGCACTTCACTGTTAGCAGTTTGAAATCTCGCGGCTTTCCAGCGGCGCCATCTCGCGGCCCCGTGATCAATGAGAAAGAGCGCACATGACAACGGAAGGGAAGCGTCGATACGATGGTCAGGTCGCGACGGATCCTCCTCACGTCACCTGGCGCACCTCGGGACCGCCGGCGAGCGCTCGGTCGGAAGCGGGCCAGTGACATTCGGTCGCGCGCGCGGGGCCAGGGTCGCTCCTGTCCGCGACAACCCCGGGGCGAGGGAAAGGCGAGCGACGGGCGGGTAGTAGTCGGCTGCACGCAGTATGGGAATAACCTGTCGGACAGCACGCAGCGCTCCGAGCCGCGACGGGGTCGCGCACGATGATATGACGTATAGGCCCAGGGACTGATCGAGACGCATCCAACGTCATGTTTCACCATCTGCATCTCAGGAGTCGTCTTCTGCAGACCCTGATCCTCGCGCTGATCGGCCTCACTTTCTACGCGTACTACCGTACCACCGTGTACGATGTCCGCCAGTTCAGCCTGCCACGAAACACCAGTGAGTATCTTTCCGTGCTACCGATTTGCTTATGTTAATTAGTAGGAGGCTAGATAGAAGAGATAGTGTGTATTATTCATTCCGGTGATTCATGCCATGGTGTCTTCATTTCGTCGAAACATCAACGAGTGATATTATTTGGATTGATGAAATTTACTTGAAGATTTACATGACAGTGCTTTCCCATGGCACACTCTGCTTTTTTGAAAGTCATCATGAAAAATCAATAAATTCCAGATCATTCCGTGTACCAAGAAGGCCTGAATCTCAGTGCGGACACACGGCTGACGAAGAACTCCAGCTCGGATAACGCGGCTTCGAGCCAGTACACGGCGCACAATAATCTCTCGACCGTTATCACGACGCTGTCGACGTCCTCGTCTTCCGCGAGCACGTCGAACGAGAAGCAGCCAGCCGCAAGCAACGCGACCAGGTCGGTCGTAGTGCGCAGTGATTCCGCGCGCGCCATATACGAGACCGGCCACACGGTGCCGATCCCGGAGCGGTGTCCGCGCCTGGGCAAGGACATGGATCTGGTCGTGATCGTCATGTCCGCGCCGACGCATCTGGATGCGAGGACGGCGATCCGGCAGACCTGGGGCCACTTCGGTCAGCGCAGCGACATGAGCGTGCTCTTCATGCTCGGCACTAGCAGCGACCGCAAGGTCGAGACGATCCTGCGCAAGGAGCAGAACATGTACAACGACATGATACGCGGTCGCTTCCTCGACTCGTACTCGAATCTCACACTGAAGACCATCTCGACGTTGGAGTGGGTGGACAGTTATTGCTCGAAGGTGAAATACTTGCTGAAGACTGACGACGACATGTTCATCAACGTGCCGCGACTGCTCGCCTTCGTGAACAAGCACGCGAGGGATCGCAACGTGATATTCGGCCGACTGGCCAGGAAGTGGAAGCCCATCAGGAACCGCAAGAGCAAGTATTACGTGTCGCAGGCGCAGTTCCAGCAGTCGGTCTTCCCGGACTTCACCACGGGGCCGGCGTACCTGCTGTCGAGCGACACGGTGCGCCGGCTGTACGACGCCGCCTTGGACCACACGTACCTGAAGCTCGAGGATGTGTTCATGACCGGCATCGTTGCCCACAAACTCGGCATCAAGCGCTCCCACGCCAACGAGTTCCTGAACAAGCGCATACAGTACACCGCCTGCAACATCCAACGCGGCATCAGCATACACATGGTCAAGTACAGCGAGCAGTTCGACCTCTGGAAGAAGCTGCTGGACGGCAAGAGCAAGTGCAAGTGATAATCGGGCGAAGGTCCTACGCTTGACCCTGGCGAACCAAGTGGTACGATCGTTACCGCCTAATGCGACTCGAGTGCCCGGTAACCAGCCGTCGTTTCACACATACACGCGCGCACTGTGCGCGAGAGTGGTAATTGCAAGAGTGTGCAAACGATTTCGCCGCTTAGATTTTTACACGACCCGCGCGAGCCTCACGCCTTTTCCCACAGTGGTCGGAGAACGAGAGTGGGTAATCTTCAGAGAGTATCGTGGCCTAGTCTCGTATTCCTCTTGCGTACCCTCGAGAATTCCAAAGAGAAGTATACTTATTATTGCGTAGAAAACAATTCTCTCAGTATGATTTCATTTTTTCTCTCTACTTCCTTCTCTCTATCTCTTGCGGATAAGATAATTCGGACAGATTTCTGTCGCGGGCTCTGGTCGGGGTTTGTTTTTACAATGTCGCGGAACACCAACTCTTCTCTCAAGGATCGCGCGCGTCTCTAATTCTCAGCTTGCATTTACGCGACCACATCCTTCGCGTCACGCGTGGCGAGATCAAACACGCCAGCAGGATACGGTCTAATATTTTTACGCTGCAGTGGAGGAGGAACAATCTCACTCGCTACATGAGATTCCCAGGGGATTCCTTTGTGTAATCGGCAGTTTCATTATGCTCCGTTGCCACGTGTCGACATTCAGTCCGCGGGTATAATCAGGTCAAAGTAACAATATCTCGCAAGATGCATCGCGCACTTTCTCCCGGCGAACAGCTCTCCGGCGAATTTGGAGCCGATGTTTCCGAGCGGAAAGTTAATCGTGCTGTTATATATTTGGCATTTAAGTGGCGCTTGACAAATTACGCTCTAATAGCATCGATGAGTTTCAACCTCGATCGATACCGAGCGAATCTCACTCACTCACTCATTCACTCTCTCTCTCTCCTTTTTTATCTGTCTTTCCCCGCACTGAGGAATCCATTTAATTGAATAAACAAAATTTTGGTTTGCCAAACAAAGCTCTTGTTAATTCAATTAAATGAGTTTCTCAGCGCGTTTCATTGAGAAATTCAAGTCGTAGCTTAGTTATCACGGAAGGGCTTCGTCTCCGAAGAGAAGCATGAATCGTGTTCGTCGAGGGTACCTAAGAGTCGCAAACTCCGCCGACCGCGTGGGATAATTGAGACATTTTGTGCGAACGTGACGGCGCGATAAGTCAACTGTGAGCGACTTCCCTTCTCTCCCGAATATTATCTAGTCATCGTTCTAGATAATACGTCGCGCGATAACGCGAACGCTGTATACACGATATCGACTATCCTTCGCGCCTCACACTTCCCCATCTCGTATTCCATACTCTCGTTATCGCACTACTTCATTGTATCCTGCGGAAATATCGCATATATATTTCCGTTCTCGGTGCCATATATATTTGAAGCCCGATTAAAGAGATGTTTAGGCTCGCGGCGCGACAAAGTGCGAAAATAATAGGAGCAGGGTGATTGGGAGCCTCGTTGGTAAATGGGACCTAACGAATATACGATCGATTCGTTGCCGTTCTTTAACGATTTTTCGACGATTGTCGAATAAATATTCGATCGAGATTCCGACGATCTCCGGAAGCTCTCTCCCGACTTTGATTACCGTCGGAATGGTACGTATTCTTATTTCAATCATTTTTTATAAATATAGACTTTTTTTTATTAGATTATAGATAAGTATGTAATTTTTCATCAAAAAGTCATTGCATTCCTGTTGTCTCATTACCCAACGGCCTCGGTTACCTATTTTTATATTTCGTCGCGTTCTGGGGGCTTATATGTATACACGTTGTGTTCCTATATTGCGCGCCGCGCTTTCCGAAAAAGTGCACGATATTTTCGAATTATTATTATTATAGTCGCTTTTTTTATTTTATTCACTACTCCTTCACACCTTCCCCTTATTCTTCCTAATGAACTATTTATAAAATATCTACATGACATTGCGTATTTTGACTGCTTTTTAAAATTTAAGAAACGTGACTTTCAAATTGTCAGAAGCGTGTATTTATTTAGTTTTCTTACTTTTTCACGAGAGATGTTACGTCCTTTCGTATGTGATTTTCACATAAATCAAATCGAGTATTCCACTCGCGTTTGAGAATGGAAATGAAGCTAACGAAGCGTCACTTGACACTTCATTTAGTTGTTTTTAAGAACTACTAGCTAGTGGAAAGCCGACACTGACGGATTTCTTGATTCCCAATCTAACGTTTAGGTGGGCTTTAGTTTCGCGCTTAATGAATTAAAGCCGCAGCTGGTTCGCCAAATTATTTATCAGCGAATCGATTCTTGCCCGACAGATTGAAGGAAGAATGCACCTTCTTGTTATCCGTTTCTCCTCGTGAGAACGCGCGCGCGAATCGCACGCGAGTCGCGAGTTAACGAGCCCCGAAGATCAGGCCAAGGCTCCTGCAGCTCGTTGCGACCATATGCCGCACGTACTCCAATTGTGTCCTTGGCACGTATTCCGACCAAGTACGAGGCAAAGCGGTTGTGAACGACCGAAACGAAGGGTCGTTCCATCTCGATTGCGATGCGGCGAAAGGAGAACGCGACCGGCCGGCCCTGACGAGAAGATTGACACGATCGCGCACCTAGTTTGTAGTATTTCGCCGACGAGATCACGCGAAGACGGAATTTTCCGAAAAGCAACTATTCTCCTCGATCATCTCAGAAATCGCGTCGTTCAAGAGATCGATTTCCCGGAAGATTAATAGTAAGATAAATGATAGAAGGTCTCCGCAACGAAGGTGGCTTATGATTCATGAGCGATTATGCTGCGCTAAAGAAGAAATGACTTCGCTCACGCAAACAGTACGTCTGCCTGCCCCGAGCCAAGTCGGCCGATGAAAAATCGAAGTTTGCAGGGAAGCGCGCGGATATCGCCATTCGTAAGCAAATAGTTCCACGGAATAGTTGCAGAGATTGATGCCTCACTAGGCTCCGCATGATACCTCGCGAGCGGATCGGACATGCATCGTTCCGAAAAGTAAAAATCCTGAAACTCGCCAGGTGTGTGACGGTTTCAAAGCAATTTCTCAACATGCAATTTTTTCCGAATATCTCGATAACATTCAGTTATCCCGAAAAATGATAATAAATCCGAATACCGAGACAATATGTCGAAGCATACTTTCCCCGAAATAAGAATATTAATTTAATAAATGATTACTAAATTTCTTTGTATTGTAACTTCTCGAGACGATTATATACTTTCAATATTTCGAAGAACCTTGGAAGATTGTTTCGGTGTTCAGGAATTTCGGGATTATGACTTTTCGACTTTATTTTGTTTTCCAGATTATCTGATTTTTCAAATCTCAACAGGATTTTTTTCTTTTTTCTCGGAACAATGCATGCCCATCAATCGCGGGCCAATTCACGGCAAACGATGGTATTCAACCAAAAATTCGAGTTAGAGTCCTTAGTTGCAGCCGACACGAGATAGTGAAACGTACTTACATGTTCTAGATTTGCAGTATTGTACCAATATGTATCTACATTTGTAATACACGCGCGCGTCTCTCCCGATAGGTCTGCACGTCGCACGATCCGGAGCGTCCGGAGATAACAATTGTCACTCGTAAAACGCGATCGCGCGACGGATAATAATTTATTTCCATTCCTCTCTCTCTCTACCCTTAGCTTAGGTGAGCTGAGTGCCCTAGATGATGTGCGTTTTATTTTTGTATGCGTCTACATATAATAATAATAATAACGATAATATGTATATTACGCGAGTGTCTGCATAGATATGTGATTGATTGACATGTGATGATTCATTGTTATAGTACGTTCACTTATTATCGCGAAGCCGGAAGAGTCGCGAGCGAGTCAATCGCGAAGCGTCCTGATTGTCCGGCTCGAATCTTGTCGCGTTTCACCCTTCATATTCAAAGCGATTTTTCTTTTTTTTTGTCTTAAGTAACGTTTTGCGAGCGACGGGCGAGAAATTCAGCAAACTATCTCGCGAGAGAGAGAGTCACGACGACGGTGTTGACAGTTTCATTTCGCTCGTCGTGAATTGTCGGCTAATTTATCGATGTGTCCTTAGTGATGTTTGTTTATAAGGGAAAAAATGCATTTGTATTCTGCGAAATTGTATAAGTCTGGGCGCGAAGAAAGAAACGAGTGTACCACTCCTCACACCACTACGCTTGTACGCGCATTGCGAAATGTACGGTAACGCAATTCGCGTAGAACATCCGGTACGCGTTAATAATACACAAGAGTCAATGAAATTAACAGTTCGCGTTGCGAAACGAAGGCAAGGTGAATGGGTGACTGGAAATGCGTGCGTACCAAACGTACCGGAGCTAATTGCGACACGAAGCGAACGATACGTAACTTCCGTCTGTAAGATATATCGGATCGGGTATCGTGGAATCTGAAATCCGTGATGCAAAAGAAAAATAAGAAGAGAAAGAAGAGAGGCAGTAGCGTTTTACGGATCTCGTGTTCTGCGAAATTTGACTTCTCTTATCTGTCATCCTGCATCGTATTGACTCATATTGGCCACTACTTCAAAAAAAAAAAGAAATAAACACTTCTACAGTGAAAAGAAAAGATCGGGTGAAAAGAACTAAGTCTCAGGGTTACGCAAATTTTATCACGGAATCTGCATTTGAGTCGAACGATCCGGCGTTTGAATTGCAAAATTTAATCAACGATAACAAATTAACAAAACTGGGATGTGTCTAGTAAATACAGTAACATTAGAACAATATTGTAACATCCCGCTCAACAGTGTTACGTCCAACGTATGTTATATTATAGTTACGTTGTTGAGTGAGAAATTTATATTATTGATATAATGTTACTGTTGGTGTTTTTACTGGATAGTTTCATGTATGATACAGATGTTCTTTCAACTACCAAAAATCGATCTAACTGCATAACACGAGTGGTTCTACCTCTGGTTGGAAGATTAAGCGAATCGGACAATTAATATGACCAATAGGTAGGCAATTATATAATAGTCTCATTTAACTAAATTCTGAACTTGTTTTACACAAGAGATTAAGAAAAATACGAAAATTCTGCCGAAAGAATTCGATTTTGCTGTATATACAATTCTGAAATTGAGTTCGTTTAACCCGATTCCAGTTATTTCGACATATCTTTCTTTACGATGTACTCTTTTCTCGCTGGACATTTTGAAAACTTTCACATGCCTCACGAAAAAAAATCGCGCAACGCCATATAAAGGATCTTTATCAACGCTGATTATTAGTCGTCGTATCTCTAGCGGGAGATTAACGTTTGTTCCCCTTGGACATAATACGACTATTTTTACCACGTACCATCATCATCACGCATAGGATTACGTACGACGATTTTCAGTTGCGAAGCGAAAGATGAAGAGGAACGCGAAAAGCTGTATATCCGCATTTTACGCACATTTCTCGTGTCCGCAGGTCGGGCGATTCTGGATTTTACGCACGATTTCATTCTCACTTTTAGCGAACGAGCTGTTCGTTGTTCGGTATTTAACGCGAATGAGACGTGAAAGATCGAATCGCCCAGGCTGGAGAAAGCTCGAAGAACGAGCGCGATCTGAAGCGCGTCATTTTAACGGCGAACGTTTCAGATCGCGCGCCCTCCGGGGAGCCTCGTGTGTATTTTTTATTTCGAGAAATATTTATATCGTACCACACGAATATGACAAATGCTCAACTGTCGTTTGAAGAATATAGATTCTTTGCTCACACCTGTGCGTTATTTGAACCGGCATCTTCTCACCTACGAAGATCATCCATGAGAATTTCCACTGAATCACGGATTTAGTCTTTCGATGAGGGAGATAAAAAGAGAAGAATTGATTCTCATCGCGGTTTCTTCGCGATCGATGTTTCATCAAAAAGTACTTACTCAGACGAAAGGAGAAAAAACTTCGTTCCGCACTGCAGACTTGCTTTCCCACGAAGAATCATCTCTTCGTCGGTCGCGTATCACGATTTACCGTGCAGCTTTCGTTAATCAATCTGAAATTAATTCATGCCACTCGTCTAAATAATTCGCAATTAACCTTTCCGCGATTAATCAGATCCCGATAATCAAAATCGAGACTCGACGGTCGCCGGGAGACCGATACATTTTTCGTCGGATCGCGTAACTCGAGCGCAATTTATTCATTTAACGCGCAATCATCGCGTTAGCTGGGTAAGAAAACGCAATATCTCATTGCGTCATCGCCTCGCCGTCATAAATATGTTTGCAATTTAAAAGACCGGGACCGATCTTGAGAGATTCTCCGTGACGACGACGATGTCGATGCTAACATGAGAGCTGGCCAGTATCACCATTTGGATCGGCAATTCATGATTCTATTATCCTACGTGTCAGTCTGGCACAGTAGCACCGTGATGCAAAAGAGGTAGAATTATGAGTAATTTGCAACGCGGCTACATGATTCATCTCCCTCGCACAGTGGAAGGTATAGGCGGGATTATTCACTTTTGTGTATCGCAACGGCGTCGACGAAAGCGATAGAGCCGCTGTTATGCATCTTTGCACGGTGTGCCTTTCGCCACGTGTGAGGGATATTTGCTCTCGAAAGTGGAAAATCCACGAGATACGTTCACCAAAGGAATCACACGCACCGGTGATCTATGATACCTCAATTATTCGCCTCTCGCGAGCGCGACCTGCAATTTCGTTCTTCTTCCGGCTTCTACACAATTTCGAAAGTGTAGAAAGTCATCGCGCTGCAATCGATCTTATTCGATACGTTTGTTTTTCGCGAAATTATATTCGATCGTAACTGTCTCTCAAGATAGGAATTACAGTGACAGGTATGAGACAGGAACAAGAGACCGTTCGCATGATATTCGCTTCATTTTTCGTTGAATATTATTAAAAAAAATATGTACAAGTTTAATTATTTAATATATTCGACGATATATGTTCGATATATGTTTGTTTAACACAATCGATACTTCGTCGGCCTTTAATCGAGAGCGAAATTCTAAGTTACTTTCACTATATCGCGAATAGAGAATAAAATAAAAATTCTCGAGCAGGTCGCAGGCCGAGAGCTTCACGACGACGACGAACTACTGATTTAGCGTTATGTAACCGACGACATTAAATCCTCTTCGAGTAATAACAGACGAACACAAAGAGCGGAGACCGGTCGGGAAGAGAAAGAAAGGGATGTAACCGGAGCAGCAGAGAAAGGTGCGGGAAAGGCAAGGCAACGCGGGGAAAGAAGGGATGGAGAGAGAGATAGCATTTGCGCAAACCGCGGTAATTAAATGCAAATACTGCGTGCACCCGGCGAAATTAATATTTGACGTCGACATCGCAACCCGACCCGTTCGTTCCTCCTTCGAGGAATCGAGGGCCAGACGCTCTGCCCGATAATGATCGACAAGTCGGGCACGCGCAATCGCCGACAAATTGGATAGACTAAAAGCCTTGCACCGACGGCGAATTAACGACGGAGAAATTTCTCTCTCCCCCTCTGGCATTCTCTCGCTCTTTCTCTCTCTTTGCCAGGAACGGAGGATGAATTCGTTATCTATTTAGAAAAAAAAATAATTCGTCAGAATTCAAAGCGAAATTAATTATGAATCTTCGAGAATCGGAATTCAAGATTAAGAGCGAATCTGATTTAATTATATTGATTTAAAAATATTCGTTTAGATTTTGTTGAATTATCCATGTAATAGTGCAGTTTCTTATCTTTCGCAAACGATCGGGCGAGTTTCTCTTCTCGATTTCTTCGATGGAATAACGTCCAGAGATATTTAACAAAATATATCGTTGCTACTTGCAGTTAAAAATATTGCTATATTGACGATTGAGAGAGGCTGAAGCTTGTGGCTCATTCATTTCCACGTAGATTCGTCCCTGCTCGCTTCATTTGCGTCTCGCGACTTCGTTCCACGCCATCGTGACGGGATTATCTCTCAGATAATAACGTCGATGAAGCCCACCAACAACCGACCGCGATGGATTCCTCCGTGTTTCGTCATACGTATCCAAGACTTGCTGCGATTAAGTAAAAGTCGACTCACGCGACAGATTTTTACTTTTTTCATTTCTCTCTCTCTCTCTCTCTCTCTCTCTCTCTCTTTATGTCTCCTTTTTTCCTTTACCGCGTCGTGGAAAAGTAAGTAATTACGTGGTGGAAAATCCAAAGAGACTTAAACCTCATATTCTGTAAACACGAAGAAATTTTGAGATCTCTCATGCACCTTACTAGAAAATATTTCTCAATGTTTAATTAAACTGTTTCTTATCGGTATTTTTATCTCTTAGCAATTTTTGGCTTTGTAAATAAACTACATTTTTTACAAAAATATATTTCTGCTGTATAGCATTTCAATTAACATAAGAGAAATTACAGATCCTATGTGAAATCCAACTAGATGAACTATAATGCAATATTTGTTTTGAGTTACGATAGATTTACTCTCAAATATAACAGATATCAAATAAATAATATAAGCAAAAAAATTACTAAAAAAATGAACTTAAAAATAACAAAAATATAAGGATTTAATCGAGTTTTTGATAGCCTCAGAAACGGAAAAAACTTCGCAGAAGTATAAGTAAATGTTACCGAGAAATATTTACAATTCCAATTTTCCTTATCGCGTGTATCGTTGACATGCTTCGAGAGACGTATGTAAGAATATAAAATACGTACGATGTACGAAATAAAACTAAACGTAGTTTGGGTATTATCGACATCTCGGTGGATATTGGTAACAACGGTTGTTTAAATACGATCACCATTCGAATAATATCGACAATCGTCAGTGTACCTGTTTGCAAGCTCCTTTGTACGATGGCGTTGTAGTTTTCCGGCGAGTGCACCTCTCGATGCCAAAGTGAATATCGTTGCGTCCGTGATCAGAGGGCGGGGAATTGATACGATCTTATGTTTACCAAAATTTCCTTACTTCGACTGACAGATTAATCGACCTTAAAAATGGTAGGTAGAAATTTCTAGTTGTAAAATAAGTCGGTATCTTCTGTCAATGTTAAGAACGTGAGTAAGAAATATTTCCAGAAAAGTACGCTGGAATGCCACCTCACTCGATAGACGTTTCGATATTTCCGTCAGGTGGTTGAATCATTCTTTTTGATAAATCCGGTCTTAACATGTAACATTTGATGGTGAATAAAACATAAAATTACCCTTAACATGTGAGAATCGTGAAGGGAAAAATTGAGAAGATTTTCAGTGATTATTCACACACTTGCAGTTGCGATAATGTGAACAGCAAAATTAGCAATGTATGAAAATATTCATTGATATTATAATGTTACAAGAACGTGTGTTAGTAGATAAACAAATATTACTCAAGATCGATTATCTCGATAATTTTCGTTCAGTCGTAGACTTTTGCAATTTGCATACATTCACTTTGCAGATACGTTTTATCCTCATACAAAACAGAGCTGGCAAGACCAGATTAGCAAAGTGGTACATGAATTTCGACGATGATGAGAAGCAAAAGTTAATAGAAGAAGTTCACGCTGTGGTCACTGTCAGAGATGCAAAGCACACTAACTTTGTGGAGGTAAATTCGACAAAGTATGAGCTTCCTTTATGTTACACGAGTGAACCAATAACCATATGAGTATATATTTCAGTTTCGCAACTTCAAGATAGTATACAGGCGATATGCAGGCTTATATTTCTGCATCTGTGTTGATGTAAATGACAATAATCTTTGTTACTTGGAAGCAATTCATAATTTTGTGGAAGTACTGAACGAATATTTTCATAATGTATGCGAGCTGGATTTAGTGTTTAATTTTTACAAGGTATTATGTGAACTGGCAGTTTGCATCAAAGTTAATAAATCTAATAATAATCTTTATAATAACCATTCGACATATTTCAGTATTAATCAATTAAATGTTAATTTAATAACATAAAAATTATTTAACGTGTTTTAATTTATTATTATTTCATAAGAAAACAATTGTTTCAGGTATACACCGTTGTGGACGAGATGTTCTTAGCGGGTGAAATCCGAGAAACGAGTCAAACCAAAGTGTTGAAACAACTCTTGATGTTGAATTCCTTAGAATGAACAAGCTCACGATTTTGGCTTTACATATGTTATGACTGCATAATCTAAATATATAACGTGTTTTCGAGGTGAATATATATGTTCATACTATGTAGTGATTGTGTCGCATAATGGTGAAATTACACGGTGCGTAATAGAAGCAATCAGCACACAAAACTTGCGTGATAGAAAAGAACGCTTCTATGTCGCACTTTCTATTCCGCAGTTCTATTACGCCCCATGTAATTTCATCCTTAAACACATAACATAAATATTCCATGTAACAGTATGATTTCGATGATGGTCGGCAATAATTTTTTTTCGAGAGCTATATGATGTACAGTAATCTCGACGTGAATTTTGTGTTACGAGTTATGAGACACGACGACGCTCAAAACATGACAAAGTATCGTAGGTATGAGAGAAAGATAGAAAAAAATATACGAATTATATCATCTATGTTCTAGGTATCTAATAAACCCTGTAAATACCTCTGATATAACGTCTCTCTTTATTATTGTGCGAATATTGCAACATTTATATTAAAGTAAAAAATATTAATTATACTTTTCTCAAAGAGAAAATTGCTCGTCTCTACAAGAGACAAACTGGAACACGTATCATTTCTTTCTATATCTCTTTTTTTCAGTTTCTAATAAATATAATCAATACTGTCCTAATAGAGTCGACTCTAACACTTCCTTACTTGGTATAAATTTCTAACTATAGAACCTATAACACTGGCATGAAAAGAAATATTTACAGTCCACTTTTGATTTTCGTCAAAATAACTTGGCTAAAACTAATTACCACTTTAAAAGGTCCACCGATAGTTGCAGCGACATGCAATAACAGCTTTCAGTGTGTCCGCGTTCGAAAGATCTCGTGACGCGCGACTCGCCGATTTTCCTCAATCAAGGAAAGTTTACTCTATTAAATCCTTCACGAACCTGGCTATGACCGATAATATGTCGAGATACGATACGACCATAAAAGGTTAATCGTGTTAATTACTGTCCTTTAAATATTACTAGCGTGCGCCATGTCTTATTTGCATTTCAGCAGTTTTCAATCACTTTTTTACTTATAGATGAATTATAAATTTAAACATAAAAATGTACTGACATTATATTAATGCACGTTAATTGTACGCAAGGATACAGATCATGCTTCTCTCTGTATTCGTTCTGGACATATCTTTATTGCGACACACTTAGCAAAAATGTTGAGCGTGTGGTCTCTCGCGTTATCAGTCAAGACGATGATAATAACAAAAAATGTTAAATTATGTGGTTTAGAACTATCTAGATATACAATTGACGCGTGATACAGCTCGCAAAGTCCCTCAGTACAGTTGCGTTTGCAGTATAGCTTTGTTCAGCATCTTGCAAAATGTCTCTTTTACTTCCTGGCACAACAGATTCGCCGACCTATCTCCCAGAGCGGCTTGAGCTGCGCTCACTCGACCAAGCTGCAGTAACAAGCCTGTGATGTCCTCGACCAACGGCGGGAAGGCCAGGCATATTCGCGTCAACGACTCCAACACTGGCATGAAGAGGATCACCCGTTCTTCAGCGGGTAATACTCCCAAGAGCGTTATCAGAGTGTTAATCGCTAGTCGGCAAACACTCAAAGTCTTCGGTAAGGCGTATTGAATCGCCAGGTGGGACGCCAAGTCCACCGCGAACACTTGTTTCTCGGGCTCAGGTTGCGACAATAGTTCCGGGATCCAATCGAGGCATATGTGCATGGACGGGATTCCCGGGACCGTGATTTGCAATAATTCCCGCGGATAACCCTGTGGATGAAAATATTTCTTGTAATGGTTCTAATTGCTTACAAATAATTAGGTTTGGGCGACCAATATATCAGGTTGATTGAAGAGTCTTCTCTCGTAGACATTGATGTTGATTTGATTGAAAAAAAAAACGAAGAAATATGCCGACGAATGAAATGTATATGAGAACATTTCTTACTTAGCCTAAGTATAACAACTGGAATTACGCGACTTTCGGTCTTATGCATAAGTTTGAGATCTTGTAATTCTCGACCCAGGGAATGATAAGGCAAAGTATGATGCAGTGTATATATATAAAAAAAATCGGCGACATACCTGGAAATGGACCAATTTGGCCAGAGAAGGATCGGCTATGAATACTTGATGCAAATACGAACACACGACACTACGTATCTCCTTGAGAGACCACATCTGTCCGGGAGTTTCCCTGTCCTCCTTCGTTTCCAGACACGCTTCCAATAAAATCTGCACCGCCGCGCTTTCCTGACCCGCCACCAAAGCTATCCTTAAGTCCTCTCTTTCCGTCTCGCTTGTTAACTGCCCGGTTTTTTCGGTCAATGGCTTGTCTTGCATATGCCTGGCTAATTGAGATCGGGATGCGGCTAGGGTGGCTTGCAATATCCTGTTGAAACAATTCCAGATATTTCTCGTCAATACAATTGTAATAACTTATCGCTACTTATTTAATACAACTGCCTCAACTTACCTAAGGACGACAGATAAAATCGGCGCGCATCTGAAGACCCTCGTGTCACATCTCAGTACCTGCAGTGGGTCCAATACGATATTATCTTGCGTTAAGTAGACACTTTTCACGATTGCATTCTCTATCAACAGCGCGTTTATAGACAGCACCCACAGACAACGTGGCAGAACAGTATTGAGCCTGAGCCACACTTGCTTGTAGAGTTCTGAAAATTTCAAAAGAGACTCGCGTAAGATTAAAAATAAGAGTTCGGCCGATTTTGCTCGTCTCTTCTCTGAATCCATTTCTCGTAAGCCCTCTCTTTTTACAATACGACTCCGTGTGATTTGTTATATAATTAATTTTATACGTCATTCTGAAATATTTGATTCGTGACTTTTATATGTTAAAACTTGAGCAATAAAAATTTTTTTATACGCATTATTCAATATCACGCTAAAAAAAATGGATCTCTTGAAAAGAAAACAAAAAGACATGGCGTGTATTGTGAATAATCTACATGTAAAAATATGATCTCGAATATATATTCTTGCGTATATCAGAAATTGACCTTGTATGTATCTAGGAACCTGTCCGTCGAGAATATCCTTAAAATAATGTATTATTATCTTAGCATGAGGCCAGATCTCAGTCGGCTTGAGCGTCATCAATTGCCTCAGCAGTCTCCCCGTCCTCGAGGGGCAAGTCTTAACGTGGCCGAACGCCTCGACGATCGCGGCGTCGTTGATCTTCATACTCTCGTAGCTCGCAATGCCGGAGTCTATGTTGATCATCTCGTCGTCCAGCCAGTCGTCCACCAAGGATAAGTGCGGGAAATGAGTGGCCAGTAGCCGCAGAAGCGGCGAGAACAGACTGGCATAATTCATCTGATCGCGCTGGACCAGCTGAAGGAGATACTTGATCGGCAACTCGGTGAGGAAGTCCGCCGAGTAGGACTTGACCTTTCTACCCTGGGATATGAAAGTATGCATGTTCGCCAGTCTCACGTCCTCGTACTGCAGGAGATAGTAGAGCAGCAGCAACTGGGAGGTGAGCGAAGGTGTTTTGCCGGCGTCTACGTCCGTGATGGAATTCTTCTTGGTGTCGAAATTGGCGCCGAACGCGCAGTTCTGGAACACCCTGCGGATCTCGTCCTCGGTGATGGGCTTGTTGGTGTGCTCCGACGTCTTGGTGTTGGTCACAAGGATAGAGTTGACATAGACCTCGACCAGAGCGGGCAACACCGGGTGCAGCGGCGGCACGCTGTCGCATATCTGCCGGTAGATCCAGTTCTTGATCGGCACCCGATGCTTAGCGAACGCCCGTGACTTCAGCAACTGATGGATACAGTGCACCGGGAGAAAGCCGGGGATATTAGCGTTGAGGTTCGCCGTGACCGGCACCTTGACCGCGTGCGCCGTCACCACTTGCTCGGTGAAGATCTCCTGCATGAAGATCTGCTTCATCCTCGTGAGATTGTTAGGCCGGATCGGTATTTTCATACCCAAGGTGGCGCACACCAGTTCGCAGATCGCCGACAGCTGATTGCTGTGGAAGTGTATGGCCATCAGCAGCAGCATCTCGCCGAAGCTGGCGGTGACGCCGCTCGCGCTCTCGAAGTAGGCCTCCTCGCGCACCAGCCACTGCACCCACTCGACGCTGCGCTTCTCGAGATTGTGATGGCCGATCAAGGACGGGCAGGCTATGAGCATGCACAGGCCCAGCGACACGAAGCGGACGCCGGCTGGCGACGGGGGCGGATGCGACGTCAAGAGCTGCACTATCATCGCCACCTCGTCGTCCTGGAACTTGATGCCGCCGATGCCGCGGAGGGCGCAATACAGTCTCAAGAGCGCGCTCGCCTGCACCACCTGCGAGCCCGCCAGCTGGCCGTCCGTGCTCTGCGACGCGATCGTCTGCAGCCGCTTGAGCAGCTCCTCCCGCAGCGCCTGCAGCGCCGTGTGCGACTCCCACTTCCGCTTCTGACCGTTGCGAATGAACATCGCGATCCATGAGCGCACCTGCTGATCGCTACCCAGCAGCAGACCGGACACGAAGGCAACGACGTCGCTCTCGGTGTCGCGACGCTGCGGGCAGTTCCTGTGCTCCAGGCTCAGAGCGATCGCCAGCGCCGGCATTCTGCACAGTTCCACGCACTTGGCCCTGATCGCCAGCGCTTGGCTGGGATTCATCTGGCACAACATCGTCAAGGCCTGCGTCCTGATTCGGCCCAGTGCTGACTCCTCTTGCCTCTCGCCGTTGGCGATCAGATGGGCGCACACCTCGGAGAAACTGTCCGGGCTGTTGGCTACTATCCAACAGATTATGTCGGGGCCGTGCTTCACGTGCAGGAGAGTCTCCGCGATGTCCAGTATAGAGAGCAAGGTCGGTAATTCCGCCAGTGCTATACAGATGACGTAACTAATCTCTTCCATGTAGACAGCATTGTCGAACAAGTCGGACTGCTTGATCTGAAACTCCTGATTCTTCTGCAGCTCTTGAATCTGTGCCGCTATGAACAATATTTCGCACAACACCAGTCTGATCCTGCGAGTGGACTCGCTGCGCTCGAATTCAAGAGCCAAGCCGCTTTGGAGGGATTGCGCCAGCACGCTCTCTCGCTGCGTGCTGCCTCCCTTTTGCCTGCGGAAAAGCAAGCGGTTTCATATTGACACACTAATCAACCAAGTGGCACTTACCTTAACTGCTGCTCCTTCCTAACGTCAGTTTCCAATGCGTGAAAGTCGATTGATAAAAGGGCTATAATGGAGTTAACCGACTCGATGCCGGAAAGTATCGTGAGTACCTGCTTCCTGCCCTCCACGCATTCCCTAGTTATGTCCAGCGGAGAAATAAGGCTCATTCTAACCAAACACGGCAGGATGGGCCTGATATCTTTGTGCGAACACAACGACAGCTCCGTGATGTCGACATTCTGTATCGCCGTGAATACTCGCGGTGATACGCGCGTATTTTCAAGCACCTCCATGATAATGGGATCTTGTTTCTTACCGTGAGAGATTTTACGCGGTAAACTCGTCATGCGAATGATCACCCCGGTGTTCTCTCTTCCGTTTGACACATCTCGCCGTGTCGCTAACGTCGTCGGTAAGAACCAGTGTTGCCCTCTTTCGAGGTATACGAAACTCATTGACGTGGACATTCGCCCCCATTTTCGTCGGTAAAAAGTGGTGGGCATCGGCAGCGCGGCACATGATTTTGCCATTTCTGCGAACGACCGTCTCAAGCGCATCTTCGAGTTTCAAGGAAGCCAGAATTGCCGCCCGAGAGCACGGAACATTACAGAATGAAATTTTTGAAGAAGATGAAGGTTCCTTTATGGCTGGAATAGTTGATTAAAGTTAAGTCCAAAAGTTTCGACATATCACGAGAAATGTTTCATCAAATTTTAAATACGTTTTTCTCGAAATTGTTTTCGAACATAGTAGATATGAATCCAAAAAAAGCTACTTGTCCGATTAACTTTCGCTTTTACAGTTATACTCAATAAACATGCCGTTATCGCTTGAATTAAAATAAATACATTGATTTTTCCTATTTTTTCCAAGCGAAATAAGAGGAAAAAACGAGTAAAAACTGTTTGACTGTACTCGCGATGCAAGTCTAATTTCGTCGCCATACTGAACTACGTAATTGGAATAAAAATATAATTTTTTTTCATTTACACTAAATATACTTTTAAACGAGATATTGTTTTTTAACTATATCTTAATTTTTATTTTTATAAAAAAGAACTTTTAAAAATAATTTGCCTTTCAAGAGTGATGAGATATGAGAAAACTCTTAATATCCTGAATCGTCAAAATAAATACCGTTCATAAATACTGTTGAAAATTAAATTAAACATCGCGACAGAAAAGGATTGATACAAGCAAACTACGAAAAAAGATTTTATTTCTTAATTCTATGTACCAATTTAAGGAAAAAACAATATCATGCGTTCAGAAAATACCGTTGATTATAACATGCAGTTTTCTGACAGTTCTTTAATATTTAATATTGGACACCCAATTGTTTGAGAATTTCGTTCTCCAGTTTCGCCAATGTTAAAGAATCCTCGTGTGTCATCTTCGGACTTTCTATCAAACCTGAAAAATTAAATTTTTTTATTCATACATCATCACAGCAAACACGATGACATTAAGAATGTCAAATAACGTATTAAAGACGTACTAACGACGTCACAGACGTTATTATTACGTTTGTTAAGATATCTCCTATTCAATTATCGATTTTAAGAAAAAAAAATTGCAATTGACCAATAGCTTTACCTTTTAGAATACAATTACGAGCTTCTGCGATCTCATAAGCAAGTCCGGCAGAGTTGATAAAATTGAATTTTGCTCTAAGTGATACTTTCGGCAGTTGTTCCATTACGGTGTTGAAATGTTCCGCATTCAATGTCGTTGCGCACCAAAAGGACGGCACTTCTATCAAATTCTTAGTACCACACATAATTGCCCTGTTTGGCAACTTGACCAGGCTACTTGACGTAATAGTGGCGGAGCGATTCCCTTTGTAATTCAAACAGGCCGACATGCATATATCGACGCCTTCCTCGTTCAAGAAACCAGAGGCCGTTATGCTTTCCGGCATCTCATTGCCGAAACACAAAGTTGCGAATTGAAGACAATAAACTCCGAGATCCAGAAGTGTGCCGCCGCCCAATTCTTTTTTACTGAAACGTGAGAGAATCGTTAAATACATATGATAGTAATAATATACGATTGAACGAGACCATAGAGTTATAAATAATACTTATTCAGTTATCGATGTACTAATTACTAATGATACAAAGGATTAACATTCTATTAGCCTAATATATAATAGTTATAAGAATTTTATTCTAAATATCACTAATTAATATTGTGATGGTGATTCACATGTTATTAACGATTAATACTATATCGGACAATAGAAATATATAAAATTCATCCTAATCACTGTTCAAATATGTGATTTTATTTCACTACTCTATCTTGTTACGAACATTAGACGATCTACATCCTGAAGGTCGACACCGAAGTTGGCGAATACATGATGAATATCGCCGATTTCATTGGTCTCGACAATATTCCTTAAGGTATCGTAAATAGGGAAAAAACGGCTCCACACTCCTTCCATCAGGAACAGATTTTTGCTTTTTGCATATGAAATTAATTTCGTCGTATCCGCCAGACTCATCGTCATTGGTTTCTCGCACAACACATGTTTACCCTCACTCAGCATCATCATCGCCAGGTTGTAGTGCTGAGTGTGGATCGCGCCGATGTATACAATATCTGAGAATACAAATAAATATACTTAACATTTTCTCACACAAGAATCGTTTTAATTGTTAAAGACGATCATTAAAAACATTATTTGTGAGAAAAGAAGTTATATGAAAGATATTTATATATTTTTTATTCCCATCATTGTTATAATTTTGTAGCAATTTATATGCGATGTTTAAATATCCTTATCTGGATCGTATACCAAAATCTCATTCTATGATAGAATCAACTTAAAAGTTTTCGCAGTAATAAGCTCTCGTTACTAGTTAATCCGATTTGAAAAAAGAAACGAAACGAAGAATATACGATTATCACAGATACCAATGCTTTTATCTTTGGCCAACTGCTCATAGTCACCGTAGGCCTTCAGGATGTTGTGTGCCTGAGCAAATTCTTCCGCGCGTGATAAATCTCGCGCTGCAACAGCAATCACGATATGTTCGTCGATCGGCAGACTAGTCATCGCCGTAACAAAATCGTGTGAAATCTTTCCTGCACTGGCGATACCCCACCGAATAGCCATCTAAATTAACACAGACAAATAGCCATTAATTTAACAATACACGATGCAATCACTTCTTCGATATGATAAGACACGAAACAAAAAAGTTTTTAAAAAATTCAATAAAAAAACAAAATTAACAAAAATTCAACAAAAAAGAAATGAGAAACACAATGACAGAATTATTGAAATTGCAGAATATTTAGAAAAAATTCTGGAAAAATTAAAGAAAACATTATAGAATTATTGAAATTGCAGAAAAATTAAAGAAAACATTACAGAATTATTGAAATTGCAGAATATTTAGAAAAAATTCTGGAAAAATTAAAGAAAGCGCAATGATTACTTGTCAACGATGTTAATAATTGATCGCCTTTCAAACCCGTTTAAAAGTTAACAAACTCGGTACTACGGATTATTATAAATTCAACGGTTTCATTAGAAGGAAACAAGACCGAGAAATGGAGGGGCTGGATATATATATATATATATATATGCATGTGTGTAAAACAATTATACATATAATAAATTATTATATATATATATGTAAAATAAACCATTTTTTAGTCCAACGAAAAATTGTTTTGTTATTAGATCTGCCTGCTTTATAATTCTGCAAAGTCAAATTTTTATTTAATTTATGCATTATCGAATGTCTCTTGTTAGCAATCTTTATTTTCCATGCAAATATTATCTGACACATATGTAAAAAGTAGTAAGGTCTCGCAAACAACAACCGTTCAAGAGATTATGCGATTTTTTAATCAACGAGTCAACATTATTTGACTTTCTGGAAGGTCATGCGACCGAATTGTGATTATTTTGTAAGTTGCGATATAATCTCACAAAGTGCGATCTTCGATTTGAAGAACAGCGAAATTGCCTTTTCATCGATATGTCCAGAATAAACTCTCAATTTTTATTTTAGGATTGTTTTCGTCAAATAACGCATTGAATCATGCCATTCTGGCATATAACCGGTATTTTTTTTATGTTGATCGTGTAGTTTTGAACGATAATTTAATCTTTGATTTGCAAACAATCATTGCAATATCTTGGTAAGTTTACAGTATGCTTAGATATTTGTATTGAAATATTCAAGAAAAAGAAAATACCTTGTTATAACAGCGAAACGTCTATCACAGAACACTCAGGTTATACTCATACTGATCACGATGCAAATGGACGACCTGATAAGAAGTTTGAAGTAAAAAGACTAACGAAAGCAGGCCACGTGGTACACATAATTCTTACTCTCTAATGAAGTACGTATGTCACAGAAATATTGGATACCGTCAAGGCCCTAGTAAGAAAGAGGGGAATAAATAACAAAACAAATTCATTTATTATTTTAGCGACTGCAAGATAAAAGCGTTTGCAGGATTTTCAATATAATAATCAATATGGAAAACATAAGCATTCAAACAATCTTGTTTGGATCCACACAAGCGCCCTGTACTGCATTTAAGCACGAGTTTGCCAAAGCTCGTGACGTATTACGCATGCGCACTAGGATTGGCTGAGAAAAATTTGTCACTGAACGGGTGTCGTTTATATCATTTTATGTTATCAAACTCATTGACCTTGGAACAACCTTGAAATTACTCAGTTACTAACGCGCGACAATTTAAAACCTGTTTTAAGGTGGTTTATCGTTCTAGCACATCATGTATTTCTATGTGCATGATTTCAGACTATGATAATCTTGTTGTTGATCTAATTACCACCACATGTTACATGTCATATCACAATAGAACACATAAACTGTTTGTAAAGTTTGAGTCCAGTAATTAGACAAATTTGATCGATTTACATATTTATATACAACTTTAAATAAAAATATGTACACGGAATATACTATAAAAAATAACATATGCAATTTGTTGCTTCCTAAATTAATAATTTGCAATATTTACGACAAATAATCTAAAAAAGATTCTTTACATGATACATATTTCAAGATATAAAGTACTATCATCACAATCGTATGTATTAATAAGACAGATTCTCCTGGAGGTATGAGGGAAGCGTAAATTTGTATAAACTTAATAACAGTACCCAAGGAACTTCAATTACAAAATTCAAAGGTTATAATTTAACTAAAAAGCTTACTAGATATTTTCACAATATTTTGTTAATAAAAATAGATATCTATATCACAAATATATGATTAATTTAGGTTACGTGTTTCGTTGTGAACAAAGTTATCTCACTGAATGGCAATATTTTACAGAAAGCCCGTCCAAGTAATAATCCCTGAGGTACTGGTCCATATATTCGCGAGTCCGTAGAATTACTACGGTTATCACCTTCCAGCCACACATGCCCATAAGGTACCTGAAGGAATATGCTTATTTAATATACAATATACTGAATAATTTCTTATTTAATTACATGTTATGATATGTTAAACTAGAAATAAATTACAAGTAAAAGTATATAACTCTTATAATTCTTTATCAAAGAAATACAAAGTCACAGAAAACTTACAGTTGTTACACTAAGACCATTCCTAATTTTATCTCCTGGCAAACCTACGATTCGCTTGCATATATATTGTTTCGGATTAGAGGGACACTTGGAAATGACAATATCACCTTTGTCAAGTCTTTGTAACCTCACAGATATTTGTTCCATGAGCAATACATCATTAGTATATAATGTAGGTTCCATGGATGACCCAACACACTGTAATGCATGAAAACTTGAGCAATGTATATTTTAAAGTCAACTAGTACAAAGTATACATACATAACAATGTGTAGCGTAGAATTTTATTTATAAATAAAAAAGTAACCTATATTGTACAAGTACTTCCCTATTATGTCACATGGTTTTAGAAAGTTGTTGTATGAAGAAACCATAGTTTTTCAGGAGAGAGAGAGAGAGAGAGAGAGAGAGAGAGAGAGAGAGAGAGAGAGAGAAAGAAAGAGAGATCTTCTCCTGGAGAAGATCTCTGACATTGTGTGTGAAACTCCAAAAGTCTAACGGTGCCGAAAGGACAAAACGTCAGATCTTACAACGCGGGACGTCTCTCAAGAGCAAGGACGCCACACCGCGTTATTAATACCACTCACCACAATGATATTCCCGATGTATTCGCCCACGCAGTACGTCACGCACGCACATTGCACGAACCCGCGTAAAAGTTTGGGAAAAAATTTATTCAACTTTGCCATTATCAGGGAACGTCATTCGACGGTGACACACGCAAAATATTCCTCCTCATCGGGCCTACCGACGTTTAACCTTCAAATTTCAAATCAATAACATACGCGTAATCAACATTACGCGTAATCTAACCTAACATCGCGAATGTAACGAACCGAATGTCACGAATTTTACAAAATTCGCGCGACACGAGGACACGTGCTGCCAACTGCGGAGATTTCGCGCGTCTCTGCGGTTCGCTCAAACGCGCGCATGCGCATGCAGCGGCTCGATCGCGGCATACGGTTTTCCTCTAGCGTGAAAACTCGCGAAATAATCTCCCAATTCGAATAGAATGGGATGTTCCTTCGGCGTGTCTCGCGCGATCGGCCCTTGAGCAACAAGCCAATCGACGCATTCAGGGGAAAAGATCCAGATGATCGATCGCTCACCACCCTAGCGGCAGGGTGGTAGGCGATGGGCGGTTTTCCACGTACCGCGAACTGGAGCGCGAACTGGTTCCGCGACCGCCGCGACGCGCTGTGCGATCAATCTCCCTCTCTCTCTTTCTCCCTCGCGAAAATTGTCCCCGTGGCCTTAATCGGGAATCGTCGGCGACTGTCGGGCTCGCGCTCGGATCGTCGTCGTGCTCCTCGGCCGAATCTCGTTTAGTTTAGTGTCTCGCAGGTTACGACCGATCAACCGACCGAACGATAAACGCGACGGTGTCTCACTCGAGAGTGACAGGAGGAGAAGAAGCCGCCGGGTGAACGAGCGGCGCGCGCGACGAAAAGTGACGTGTGGTGCGACCGCCCGCCCGCCCGTTCGCTCGCGCGTACGCACGGAACGAACGAACGAACGACGTACGCACCTACGGCGTCGAGAGGAACGCGCGACAATCACACACACACACACACACACAGGCAGACGCACACGGAGGAGACCTGCGGATCCCCCGTCCCGGGCGGCAATTTAATGGATCCGACCATCGGTTGGTACCAACCGGAGCAGTACGGCCCCGCCAAGGACCTGTGGTTGCACATCTGGGAGGCCGAGAAGGGCCTTGACGTACTGACCCTGCGTAACGACCCCGCGAACACGATGGGCGTGCGGCTGCAGCAGGACTTTCTTGCACTGGACACGACGAACTCGACGGCTACCGGCACGCTCACCAATGCCAGCGGCGCGCCGTCGTCCGCCGCGGGCTTCGGCATAGGCGGCATCGGCAACGGCAATGCCAACAACGGGGGTGGCAACGGCGGCAACGGCCGCACGATCCCCACCGCCGCCAGTAATGGCGAGCACCGCGTGCCACACAACGCTTGCTGCAACAGCTATTACAATCCGTCGCGCAGGAAAAGCGACAATCGCGCTAGCACCTACGGCATGAATTACAATTACGACGCCCTAGTCGGCGAGTACGGCGGCTGTCCTTGGCGGGTGCCGAACAAGCATTACTCCAAGGGTGTGATCGGGTGAGTGGTAACCTACACGATGTATCGACGCTTATCGCAGCCCATATGGCCGTGTGATAGGTTAGGTTAGGTGCCGAGCACGCAGGGGATCGTTTAACAATCCATTTTGACGATACGTACAAGCGGCCGGCTGCTTTTTGGGATTTAAACGTCGGGAGAGCGTCGTGGAGCCCGACGGAGTAGTCAAATGTGCGAGATGTTGCTTTACGTAGGTTTACTAATAAAGTCGAAGTCTGCAAAAGGTTTGCGTCGTCGCGACAATAAGCCGGTGAAAAGAGGAAAAAATTGTAAACACGTTGGTTGTATTTGGCAATATACGGTGTCTAAAGATGTATGCTACGTTTTGACCCGAAGTTATCAAAGGACAAGACAAAGATACTGTGATGTCAAGATAACATATACCTCTGATAATATTTGTTATAATTGCATTTGTTAGATGCATTCATACCTTTGTATCAATATGAGATGTGCATCAGTCCCTCGTGGGTTTTGCTGGTATTCTTTGTCTGTATTTGATTTACATACATGAAAAATATTTATTAAATCATCCAAGTACTATAATATACGGTTTCCCAGATTTTCGTAGAATCTAAGGACGTGTTCTTTGTAGTTCAACGTCATTTATTACATAAGAAGTATTCTTAATGATGTCTTATAATGTTGCTACTCTTAAGGCTGTGTTAGATAAATAACTGGAAAAAAAAATAAACAGAATATGCTTCAGAAACATAAAAAAAAATTATTTCCTTGTAATATTGTACATTGAGTAGTTGTATGTTCTGTTTAGATTACATGAAGAGATAGAAGATTTCTTTGCATACATGTGTCCGTCGCACGAGGAACATGTTTTGAGAATGCGAGTTGTAAAAAGAATAGAACATGTAATTTATGATCTCTGGCCAGCCTCTAAAGTTGAGGTGTTTGGCAGTTTTCGCACCGGTTTATATTTGCCTACAAGGTACGTATTGTACATATTGTACACATTACTGCACATATTAACATAATGGATTCGGGAAAAATGATAACTCATTTTGTCTCTGATCATTGCATGATACATAATATTGAACAAGCAATCGTGATTTAAGGTAAAAGTATCAATGCGGACATACCTAACTGTGGACATTCTTGTTGCTTTGGTCTTTGAATACTTAATCTTTAAACATAAAGTATTTATATACATTCAATATACGTAAAAAACATATTTTATGTTGAAAGTTGGAAGTATTCGTATTTAAAGATCAAAACAATAAAAATATGTGCAGAATTAGATATCTGTCTAGGCATTGGTACCTTATAGCTTGACAAATTTCCGGATATCATATCACATAAATATTTATTTCAAGTGATGAATTTGAATCTAAAGCGATTATAATAATAATAATACATGAACAACGTGCGATGAAAATCGCTGCTGTTCGCAAGATGCATACCTTCCTGTCCTCACGAGAGCTTTCTGTCGTTACAGTGACATAGATTTGGTAGTGATAGGAATGTGGAAAAATCTTCCATTACGTACTTTGGAACGTGCTTTACTAGATCAAAATATCGCTGAGCCATCCTCCATTAAAGTGTTGGATAAGGCCAGCGTGCCGATCGTCAAACTAACCGACAAGGAGAGTGAGATTAAAGTGGACATCAGCTTCAACATGAACAACGGCGTGAAATCTGCAGAATTAATCAACTCTTTCAAGAGGCAATACCCAGTACTCGAGAAACTAGTCATGGTGTTGAAGCAATTCTTACTGCAGAGAGATCTTAATGAAGTATTTACCGGTGGTATATCGTCGTACAGTTTAATACTCATGACCATCAGTTTTTTACAAGTGAGTACAGTAATCGTATGAAACGAGAGAGAGAGACGCATCCTCTCTGTCAGGCGATACGCTCACACGAGGCAAATATCTTTATCGAACTAAACGATTTCTATCCCTTAGCTACACCCGAGGCAGAATGCTTACTGTTCGAACGCCAACTTAGGAGTACTGCTAATCGAATTTCTAGAGCTATACGGTAGAAAGTTCAATTATGTTAAGACTGGCATACGTGTAAAGGACGGTGGTACTTACATATCTAAAGAAGAGGTCTTTGCAACAATTTTATATTTTACAGTAGCACGTTGTATATAGTCGCGAATACTGATCTTGCGTTAATTGATTAACAGGTACAGCGAGACATGATAGACGGTCATCGACCGTCCTTGTTGTGCATAGAAGATCCGCTCACACCTGGCAACGATATCGGCCGCAGTAGTTACGGTGCTTTATATGTAAAAGATGCATTTGATTGGGCCTATTTCGTCCTTTCTCAAGCAGTCAGTCCTTTAAATATTTTAGTCAATGACGCCAGTAAAGTAAGGTAAGACCCGACGGAATCTCTATGACGTCGTCTGTCTCGATGTCGTTACTTTTGTTTATATTGTCTATGGTTGAAACGAACGATACTTTCATTGATATACAGCATACTGGGAAGAATAATTCGTGTGACCGACGAAGTGATAGATTACCGTAGGTGGATCAAAGAAACATTCCTACTACCCTTAAGTGAGGGAGACTCTCTGTCAAGCTCAACTGGTTCTGACGCATCCACTCTCTCAGCTCCCGCCAGTGATACGGTAAAAATCTCGCTCTATACGAAACAAATATTACGTAAAAATATAAAGAATCGAGTCATACCTGCATCTTTTCAATCATTTCGTTTTATAATGTTGCTTACACTGTAAGCTTTTAACTTTACACTTTTAATAATTACGACTTCTTTTTCGTCTAAAGGATTCCGAATGTAGTCGTGGCAATTCTCCGAACACTGGCGGAAAAAACGACAACGACAAAAACAAAGATAGACTCTTTTATAATAATCAGCAAATTCACCATTATCCGGGCAAAAAAGCATTCAAAGCGACCATTTATGGTATGACAGTCAAGTGATTCTAATATAATTCCCATGTGTATTATCTGCTTCAACGGATCTCTCCAATGATTGTTGCATGAAATAATATGTACCACACATTGCGCATTTTTCACGTTGTCATTTCGTCGACGTTTCTCCTTGCAGCGAATCACCAGCAGAGCTTCAAAGGTATTCATCATCGCATTAACAACAATATAGCCGGCCAAAATAAGACCAAGCATGCACTTCACAGTAATGGAAGCAACAATAACAACAACAACAATACTAGTCACAGCCCAAGCTCCAGGCAAAACACGGTGAAGAGGAAGAAGCAGTGTACGATGCTGCGTGGAACCGGGGATTGTGTACGGTGATGAAACGTGCGTGATAATTTTGGACATTACTTCCGTCACTTAAGTAGCGAGCTCAATATCATAACTGTGTGATAGAAAGACAGCGATTATCGTCGGTCACGTAACAACTGAATTATCCTACGCGACTCTTTCTTCTTTTGTTTTCAACTCGATGTACAGCATGGGCACAATGTCCACGATTCTGAGAGAGAGAGAGAGAGAGAGAGAGAGAGAGAGAGAGAGAGAGCTTATGGTTTACGGAAATGTTACGATTCTTGCGCAGACAAGAATGCCCAAGTATAGTAACTCTATACATATATACATATATTTCTTTTTTTTTTCAATTTGCCAGATTTCTATTTTGCTCTGTACGAAAATTTACATACCAAAGAAAGACGTACAGAACTTTTGATCGCGAATCGAGATAGGATCTCCGTTTATACTTCACTTTTCATTGCACAGGCTATAATATAAACGGTACCCGGAAACCAAGTGTAATAACATTCTTAAACATTATCATTTACGAAATCAGACAATTCTTATTGCCATCTTCGAATAGCAATTGTGTTCACAGCCATAATTAAACGTATTGTAATACATTTATATAATGCAAAAAAGATACACGTATACACACATATTATACATATGCGCGTACATAAATTCACACACAGAGAAACGTACACATACACACACCACACACCGATATTAGTTGCGGTACATTTTTCTCGGGAACTTCACACAAAACTGTGAAACACGCTGAGATAGTGACAACAAAAACTTAGTTTTCTATATGAAACTATATTCTTATAACGATGGGATGTGACAGCGAATTCGGTGATATTGGGACTTACCTATAATGTACATATTGTAACATACATCATCAAACATAGAATAGTAAGTCTAAGAGTTACCTACTAAATCCTTTTTTATTTTGTAATTATCTCAGATAGAGTGTTTGTTACAGTGATTTTATCATACAAATTCGCGGATAAAGCCATACCTATAAGAGTGAATACTGTTGTTCCTTTTCTATATTATTTTTTTTTCTCTATCAAACGTATACTCAGTATCGTTGTTGGATGATTTTGGTATGTTTTTTCAGATTCTAATAAAATTACAGATTTATGTGCTGGTGATTAAAAAAGAAAAAAAAATAATAAAATTTTGATTAAAAATATTTTTAAAAACTCTAGCTTATTGTACTGACAGAGAGTGATGACACGCTTCGAATCTTGGCAGTCTGTTTCGTAGCAACAACTTTCTTGCAAATTAGCTATCTCTTTTGTACAGAAACGTTAATTTCTTAATGTTAGTTCGTAATTCTTATCCGATATTCCCTGAACAATGATGTATTATTTTTATATCAGATAATTAAAAAGTACATACATGTTTATATTATATGAAAGGAAAAAAAAAAGAGAGAACGAGAGGAATCTGATATTTATGAATCTTACATTGCATTTGATGAAACTTATGTATATGACAATACGTGAAAAGGCCTTGACATTACTTAAAAGCTCCGTATATTACGTTTCGTCGATCATGGTAGGTGTAGTTCATTGTCGAATATTACGAAAATTACATTCCGTTGACGCAATAACTAATGAGAGCGAAAAAGAGAAAAAAAAAAAAGAAGAGAATAAAGCGTTTTTACTGCAACAAATCTCTTTAACCATGTCAAATTAAAATTTTTTCTGGTGCAGCTGCATTTTTGTGTTCAACAATTTTTAATGTGCGATGCAAAGATTACCCTTGTAAAAAAAAAACTTTAGCTACGGGATTTGAGGAAGTATAGCTTTTGAGCCATTTTAAATTATGTAACACTCTTATATCCAGTATTCCGTGTATTGTTTAACTTAAAACTCTTTCGTAATGTAATATTGTATGCTGTGATTGAATTTAATAATTAAATTGTCAATTGCTTAAGAAGATATATATAAATATATATAAATATATAATTTAAATGTTACACTGTAAAAAGAGCATTATAAAAAGCCATACTACATTTTTAAAACTATGTAACTATTATTATCATCGCGCTTAGTGATCCTCAGCAAATTACGTGTTTTTTATAAATATCAGAATTTCGTAATCATTGAGAGTTTGATAAGGAAACTTCGTAATCACTCATATTTATCGAATTTTCCGACTTATTGGAATTTCTGTAAAAAAAAAGGGGAAAAAAGAAAAAAAAAGTTTAATAAATATGAATGATGCCGATGTCTGATCCTAATTATTTCTCGTCGTTCGTATACTTTAAGAAAAAGCGGCTTTACCTCACAGCTATTATTTATAAGGCCAAGTAGACCGTTTAGAGACTTCTCGATAGCAATACAATAGTTCCCGTATTTTGCAAAAATTTTGATATATAATCGTATTTATATCCGTGTGAATATATTTTTAAATAAGCAATAATGTAATGTGCGATGTAACGCGATCAGTAATGCCGAGTCTTACGTTTATAGAACCGTACTCGTCTCGTAATTACTGAGATTGCGTGAAAGTATTATTTAATTAGCGTATATGCATTACTGAAATCGTGATTTGCAATAATATTGCCGTCGCGCTTGAATAATGATCCATTTTTTTTTTCTTTTTTTTTTTTCAAACCATAAGCTTACGCGAGGAGAAAGGAAAGTGAGATAGCAGGGGAGTGGCGGCTATGCGATATTAAATTAAATTTGATCTTCTAAAAATCATCGATCTCTTCGGCAGCGATTTGTACTTATATATATACATATATATAAATACATACGCATATATATATATATATATATATATATATATATATATATATATATATATATATTTATTTATCTACTTATAAGTTTATATATATACGTTTAATTTGCAAATCATGTGAAAAATGTACAGAGATTAAATAAATCTTACTTACCTTTTTCTTCTTAATCGGATTCAGCATGGTACACAGTAGTTTACATTTTTGCATTTCTAATGTAATTCTCATGTAGTTTCTATAATAATCGTATATGTTCTATCCTAACATTTAATAACGAACAATATTTTTTAATGCCGAATAGCGTTCTCACGTAACCATGGCATTTATTAAAATTTTCTCACGCTAGTTATAACATACAGTGTTTAAGCGCAGTATTTAGAGAGTTTTACTGTACAATTACTAGTTATTGGAGTAGAGACTAATAATTAATTTTACTTCCGGGCACAAAGACCTTCAATCGGATTCACGTCGAGTTTCTTCATACGGTCTAACTGTGCCAATCGGCGCTCCGGATCCGTGAGTGTTTTCGGCAAATCTTGATAGGCTGCAAAGAAAAACGATAATGTGACGATTAACAATCCATTTGAGCAGATTAGTACAAGGCCTAGTGTTTATATTGCGTTGTTGGTCGGAAACGTACCGAAAACTTTAAAGTACAGGTACAACCATATTCCGGAAGATAAAATCAGCATACTTAGTCCCAAAATGCCTTTCCATTCTCCTGTCGGTGCGTCCATTTCGCTGAATGTCTGACGGAAACTAGCACGGTACAAAGCCTTTTTCTCTTCGAGACTCAGTTTCTTCCAATCTCCCTTCTCCTTTTCCCTCAAGGCCTATGTATGCAAAAGTAGCAGTAATTTGACAATTGTAAATTTATGTATTGTTTACAGTAGAATACTGTAAATTCTGTCACCATAACATCAGGAGTATTCTCCTGCCAACGGATCGCAGGCATTGGGAAATCCGATCGGTCCAAATAGGTGGGTTCGCCATTGTAGCCAAATCCCACTATATCCCTGTTACCGATTCTGTCTTCTGTAAGTAATCCACGACTTTGGATTATCACAGGTCGAAACCGATTCGCAAAAAGCCTACCCGTCATTGTTTCCTGAAACGTACAATTTGCATTTAGATAAAATTTTTTATCAAATGACATTCACTTACAAAATTTGGTCCCTTTCTTTATCATTAAATGATACTTTGCAAAAATAAGTATACATATATACACACATATATATGCATATACATATAACGATGTATCTATCCTAGGATACATAAAAATTGTCATTTAGAAATTATATTATTGCCTACACTATGGCAGCATTAAATAATTTATTCCTCATAATTTTATTACTTCTGTCAAATTCTTAGAAATTGAACGTTATACATTATGTCATTTTTTTAATTTGGCACAGATATATGTGCATTTCTTACATTTCACCACAATTTTTGCAAGTACCGATCTAACTACGGTAGCGTTTGTCTCGAAACCGTGACATGACATAAAACTGAATCCGAGTTATTCGTTGCGGAATCAGGCTCACAATTATCATAAGGAAACGTTAACCTTCGAAGGGTGCCCAGCTCCAAAACTGCGTACGACTGTTAGCGAGTTACCTAACTGATAGCTAAGAGTCGAAAATGGGGAATACGTGATAAAAAAAAAATCATTACACAAAGCAAAGGATTATGTAATCGAGATTGCGTTACAGTATCGACCGTAGATTAATTGTCAAGATGCGCAAAACGCAACAAATAATTTAAAGGCCGTGCAACTTACTTCCTGTGAAGACACTTCACGCAGGGCGAAATAAAATGGCCGTAACAGAGGTTAGATCATTGGATCGGAATATGTTCGAAAGTGTATCACCTCGAAATGTTACACTAGTGTGTGATTGGTTGAATTGGATTGAATTACATGCGAACAACTGTTTAAATCTCTGTCGTATTGCTATTTAGAGATTAAGGTGACGATCATGAAATTTTCCCTTGCACTCCACGATTTTACAGCATTTTCGACCGAAGTGAATTTAATGATTATCAGTGATTCAGTTGTGTATCTCAGAACGAAGTGAATATTATAAAAGCGAGCGAATTTACTGGAATATTTATAATTTCATCGGTCAACACCTATTGAATTTGCTCACCTTTGTAATTCTCACTTCGTTTTGAGATGCACAATCGACCTGCTGATTTGATCAAGAGATCTAAAGTTATACACCAATCAGATCCAAAAGTTCACTGAATACATCCTATGACGTCATAACTACTCTAGATCGATTCAAAGTCACTTCAGTCGGAAACGTTATTATTAATCCATGTAACTTTCCAAATAATGTAAATAAAAAATGTTCCCTTTTCTATGTTTTCACCTAAAGATAAGACAAGTGGTGTGGTAATTAACCAGTTTCACTGGTAATTTTGAAAAAGTATCTGTTGCCACAACGTTGGTCAGACTGGTCCCTTAACGCTTCGCGGCTAAGATCAGGCAAAATCGGCGGAGATGTTTGACACCTTTCCGCTGAAATATTCCCGGGAGTGCTGCTAGAATTTCATCTTGATTTCGGGTTGCTCCGGTCAAGAGGGAACCCGACCACTTCGGCTCGCTTGGTGAATCGGTTGACCGTTACGACGGAGGTCCGTAACACGTCCGTAAAGTTCACGCAACATACATGCGATACGTTCGGCAAAGACCGTGTTGAAACATCGATCGACGCCGCGGGAGTGTTAAGTACGCGGGAATGCTACTCTCTTGTCGCACGAGTCGTGCGACGTTGATCGTTTTGAGTTCAGTGGGTTAGAATAGTTGGAATATGTTCCTCCTAGCAGCAGGCTAAATGCACATAGCTGAATAAGGAAAGATTCCTCCTTCACACTTGGTGCCTCTCCTTCTGTCTGTCCTCCTCCCCCTCCCTTAGCTCTTTGCGGAGCTATTGATGAAGATGAGTGGTGAAATGTTCGAGGGAGAAGATTATCCGACTCAGTGGGCTCTCAATCCGTCTGCTTATCAAAACATGAGTAACGATCAAGGTAACTTGGTTCGCGCGTATAGTTACGTTATAATATGGCAATACATGGTGTCGCATGTATATACATTCACTGATTGTTTTTGTTTTTTGTGGAAATAGTGGACTGGGCAGCATTGGCCCAACAGTGGATAAAAATGAAAGAAACAATTGTACCACCAGCACCACCGCCACCTGCCATAAATACCATGTGTGCTGGCAACGATGGCAGTGGTGAGGCTCCTATGGATATGGATACTAAAGACGACGATGTGCCTCCGGCACCACCCGCTCCAAATATTAGTGGGTCAGGTAAGGAAAGATACATGATCTCGATAATTATACAGTTTCACAATAGATGATACAGATAGATAACAAAATGTACAGATTTATAGTATAAACCAATAAAAGGGAAAAATTTCTTCTTTGTAGTATTTATATATATATGTGTATATATATATTTCTATTGATTTGCTTACTTATATCCCTTTCATACAGTATGTAAAATAATAGCCAAATATTGCTTATACGCTAATATTAATAGAAGCCTGGAACCAATGGAACCAATGGGATAACTGGAATAGCTCAACATCGGGAAGCTGGGAATGGGGCGGTGTGCCTCCTCCTGGTGTCACGGTAGGTCCCGATGGGAAACCAATTGGACTTCCAGCTGTACCAGTTGTACCACCAGCTCCAGCGATATCTACCACTACTGATTTTAACACACCTCCACCTGCACCTTCAATGTATTCATACAATTCAGTATCTCCCGCACAGTCGTATAATCAGGTAAAAGAATGATAAAGTAATACTGGAAACTACCATCGTGCTCTACATTAAAAGACAGTCTATTTGACCGGTCGAGCTGTTTGAAGGTATCTTAATTAGACGGTTGTTTCAGGTTACTAACGCTTATTGGTCCGGAGAGCCACCTAACACAGTACCGCCACAGCCACCTGGTTTTATGAAGGGTATAAGGCACATGAGCAGAGCGTCTCACATGAGAGGGATAGACCCAGCTCGGTGTCGAGACGACAGAGAAAAGACACCGGAGGAGGACACCACTACGACTATAGGTGAATATAAGAAGGCTCTTTAGTCGGTTCGACAGTAAACACACTCGCATACAGATGCCGCGAAACGACGGCAGCTACCGGCATGGCTTCGAGAAGGGCTGGAAAAGATGGAAAAGGAAAAGCAGAAAGCTGTGGAGAAGGAAAGGCTGGAAATTCTAAGGAAGCAGGAATTGGAGGCTCGCAAGCAGGCCGAAGACGAGGCGCGCGCCGTGCTGGATCCCAGCAAGAGCAAATTCGTACGTGTTCATTGACTGACGGTCAGTCTCACCCTAGATTTGTACACTACAAGACGTTTGTCGTAGGATTCAGACTCGGAGAAGGAAGCGGAGCAGGATTTTGACACTGGTAGTGCGCGCGGCCAGCAATCCGAAAAGAGCTACGATCGCACCCCCGACATTGTGCTACGACCGCGAAAGTCGCGATTCAGAGACGCAGACTCGCCCGAATCTCACACGGCCGCCGACGAGAGTCCGACCGCTGTGGCTAGCACGCCTCCTTCCGTACCGAAGCGTTCCCGAGAGGAGATCATGCAGGACATAGTAAGTGGAGGGAAATTCATTTTAATTATATTTCAGTTTATCGGAAATTCACCTAGTCCGTCGGTATATTATAACCGTCGTAACTTTCGTCACACAGATGTTGATGGTACGTAGATCGCTGACGGAGATACTGTTAGAAGTGACGAATGAAGAGATCGGTGTGGTATGCAGAGAAGTTTGGAGCCACGCACGTACCAAAGGTACCCCAGATACACACGATAGAACTAACCGATTGAATTTCCGTACTTTCACTCGTCGGCGCGCGGAGTCCAATTCAGTGAGCCTACTCGCGCCACGCTGCGACCAAGCTGTTCGATTGTGTAACACGAATTTGAGAGCATTAAACGGAGCATTCCTTCATGCGTGGACTTAATTATTCAGGCAACATCAGAGGACATCCTGTTGGCTTTTTTTGCGTTTTCAGGAATTTGCGTGTATCGTAAGGCATACGTTTTTTCCGTTCCGACCGCATTTTCGCGTGCGTCGTACTTTTTAGTATTACGAAAAAGACCTTAGCATTATACATATATTCATTATTCCATAGTATGAACACACACACACACACACACACACACACACACTGTCCTGAGTCTAGAATCGGAGCTTATTTCAACTAAGGTACCTGGCTACTGTAACGGTCAAGATATTTCCGTCGCAGTGACTAGAAATACATCTCGCTGATGCCCTTTTTTACATCGTGGTCACGTATCGCCACTTAGCTTTTCGAATAACTTAACTGCGATCCAAGTCCTCGTGAGTGTCCTCCCGTGAGGCTTCCGCGGAACTTAGCCCTATCGCGTTTTCGCGTACGGAAGAGTTGTCTCCTGCGCGTTGAATATCGTAGTTCGTCTTGTAAGTGTGGAATAATGCTGTAAAGATTTCTTAAGGTAGGAGGAATGGAAACGAGGGAACGAGTTCGCTCCTACGAATGAGCTGATTCCGAGCCATTCAATTCATTCAGTGCGGTAGCACTTTTAGCGATTGGTTACTAAATGCGTGTGTATTGTAAGTCCCCGCAGGAGAGACCCCCGTCGCATCCCTCAACAACATGGCCCCTCTTGCTCAGATCACTCGCAAGCTCGGTGAGTACGCTTCGACACTTTAGCGTAACCAACGCGCACAATGGCGTCCTTTAGGGAACAGCCGAGTTCGAAGCAACGCGCAGTAACTCGTTAGAGAGAGAGAGAGAGAGAGGGGGAGAGAGAAAAGAAAAAACGTATGATGAAAAAAAAGAATGCAAGACGGGTTACTGTGCGCATGCACGCCACATTGTCCGTTAACCGTTGTCCAACGTTGTTCACGTTGTTTCGCTCATAGAGATTTATCGATGCAACCGCGTAAGAGAGAGAGAGAGAGAGAGAGAGAGAGAGAGAGACGTCCGTCTCTCCGGACATTTCTGTCTCAGGGCATTTCTCAATGAAAGTAGCGGCTGCGAAAATTAATCGGAGCCGAGCGTATGTTCTTTTTGTTTTCTTCTTTTTTGCCACTTCGACTCCGAGAAAGCCGCGTCGTACGTAGGGAGCGGATGTAATTCGGGCTCTGTATGCCGTAGGTCTGGGCATCTACGGCGACAGTAACAGTGAGTCTGACGAGGAGCAGAGCGAATACGGGCAGGTTCAGGACGATGACAGCGACGAAGAACTGATGGTGAGCGTTTTCACGAATTCTTCAATAAGAAGAATATTGTTGCATTTCTTCTTCCTTTACCGACGTGTCTTTTCCATTGTCTCTCCTCCTTTAGTATCTATTTCGTTTCACTCATGTGATTATTACTGTTTTTATTAGATACATCTGCGATGTATCTCAAAGATGTTCATTTCATTTGTTTTTATTTTTTGTTACCTTACAATAATCAATAAATAATCGTAATTATATATAATAATGTTATTATTTATAATAATTTATAATGAATCAATGCCAGCATTACAAAATAAATATGAATGTTGTAGGAAACGGTGAGACGGCGGCAGCAGGCGTTCCGCAAGACAGAGGAGGAGATCGAGGCGCGACTCGCCGAGGAGGATGAGCGGGAAGAGCAGCAGCTGCGTTACGAGGAGCAGTATAATAAGCAACAGGAAAATCATACCGGTAATACTAGCTGCAGAGAGTCAGGTATGTTTTGACAGACAACACAACCGTATGCGGCCGCTGGGCAATCGAGTGTAACTTCGTCACGTCACACTTTAGTTGATGAAAAAGAAACGGTAAATAATCAGAGAGAAGCGTCCGAAACTTTGTCGAGCGACGGCCAAAGTCCACAAGCGGCGACGGCGGCGACGACGCAGAATAATGCGCCGGCCGACAGCGCGACGAAAGCTAACAGCACCGTCTCGGGATCGGCCGACTCCGAGTCGAGCAGCTCCGACTCGACGAGCAGCTCCGAATCGAGCAGCCGTGAATCCTCGAAGAAGACCAACAGCAAACGCTCGGCCAAGCAGCAGCAGCAGCAGCAGTCACGCGAGCGGGAACATCGACGACGGAAGTCTAGGAGCAAGAGCAAGTTGCGAAACGACTCCTCTCGGCTGTCCAGATCGCACTCCTCCGACAGCCGTTCCCGCAAACGCAGGTCGCGCTCGAGATCGCTGACCAAGTCGCGCAAGGGCTACCGCTCGCGATCCTCCAGCAATCACAGGTCCAGCGGCGACGGCGCCGATCGGAAGCACCGTTCACGATCGCGCAACCGCAAGCGCGTCAAGTCACGATCGGCGTCCACCGGCAGGAAGTGGTCGAAGAAATCCCGTTCGCGCTCCAGGGAGAGACGACGAAGTCGGTCCCGCAGTAACGTGAAACGAAGGAGAATGTCTCGCTCGATGTCGCGCAGCCGCTCGAGGGGTTCGCACAGACGGTCGAGGTCTTATGTTTCCAGGAGCCGGCGACGGAGCCGATCGAAGTCGCGAGATCGCAGTAGAAAATCGCGATCCAAGTCGAGCCATCGCGACGGTAAGAAGTCGTCACATCGGTACAGGAATTGATCCCCGCTTCGAGCCAAGGTTGTATGTACATTCATTCTGATAGCCTTAATCTATTTCACAAGAGCAATAAGCTCCGCTTCTTGTACATACTTACGGAGAAGATGTGTTTTCCTTTCTTTTTTCTCTCCTTTTTCTTTACAGCGGCAGGAACCTCGATAATGTACCTTTCTTCGCGTTTATCCTTCGAGCACTTTTTCTCTTTAACTTTACGAGTGATCGAGACGACAATATTAGCGAAGGAAGCGACTGTTTACTTTATGCGCGAACAAAATTGCTATTTTAGGAATCGAGCGCGCTTATTCCGTAACTTTTAACGTATGCGTTACAAATCTTTGCGCGGACACAATAACTGCGCAACGATAACCAAATTTTCGTTACGAGTCACGGAATAAGAGAGCGCGGGTCACTTAGCTCGGATTCATTAGTTGGAAGTCTATGTAACCATGTTCGTACTCCACAGACAAAAGATCTTTTATTTTCATATTTTTTTTTATTTTTTTTATTGTTATTTTATATTTATTTTCTTATATTCGCTGGAGAAAGAAAGAGATTGGACGTCTCTATATTTTTATTTCTCTCCTTATGTACTTCGGTTCTGTGTTGGAAAATATGCAAAATTCGTTATTACAAAATAGATGACAAGTAGGGAAATCTGCTCAATTGGTTTCGAAAACTTACTGATAACAATTTATTAAGCTGCAATCAAAAGTTTACTACGTTTAAGTTGCACTATGAAAGATACAGTTAGGTACGAAGGTACATTATGATTTAGCTATAAGAAATGAGAACAGCATAATGCGACGTCGAGGTTAGATTCGTTAGGATGCATTTAAAAAAAAATTGGCTGTCATTCATTTTATATCATCATCAGTAATGCCCTCAGCGATAGACTGAAACAAACCAAGGCAATAATACATAGTTTCTCCAGATTCTTTTTTTTTTTACACCGATTTTTCACGAAAGACATTCTAGAAAGTAGTTATTATAAAATATAATTGTAAGTGTAGTTATTGTTATGTAAAACATTGATGCCGACGTGAATTCGTTGAGTTCGTGTACTATGAATGTACGATAACAACATCTTTATATTGATTCGCCAGGTTGAATCGCGTATACTTAATATAAGGAATTGTTATCGCATACTTTTAACGTGTATGTAATTATATATATTATACAATACATAATTTATAATTATATATGAAAATATATAATTATAATTCGAAAACAGAAGTCACATCGAGATATTATCGCGGTGAGCGAATTATTACCGGTGATAATTGGCGATGGATTAAACGATACATTCAATTATTAAGAAAATTTCCATTTCTAATCAATTTTTGCTACTTTTTCAACATCGAGATATGAAACTTTTATTGAATCTTTGTTTGTTTCAACAAATTCCGTTCATTGATATTAGATTTATCGAAATATAAGATGACAGCTAATCGGTTTTCTTTTTCCATTTCTTTTCAATATTATGTCTAACTGCGTTCACACAAATGATATCTAAGTCCATAGTTGACTCGTGCAATTCAAGTGATAAGATGATGTAATATACGAACGACGTATTTTATAATGTTGTTATTGCGCCAATAACTCGAAATACTTTCGCTAAGTAAATAAATGACCGATTGCTCCTTATAACACGGCGATCCGCTAGAATGTAAATCACAGAACGAAGAGATTGAGAGAGTATTGTTGAAACTTTCTTTCCTTTGTTCAAAGGTTTTGTTGAAACACGCCATTGTAAAGGGAAAAATGTAATTAGGGAACGACCGTTCGTTCAAAATTAAAGCGAGCATGAGGACGAGTTTTAATCTTCCAACTTTGTTTTAGACATCAGAGTTATAGATCCTGGATAGAAACATAGTGCGAGTTTTGTACAGTGAATTACGCGACAGACCCTTCATCGCTCAATATTAAATAATCACATGTTCAATATTAATTATATATGTACATATAAAAAAAATATATATATATTTACAAGTAAGCGTTATACAATTATAATTGTACTAACGTATTGAATTCGGAAAGCACTGAGTAGAGTATGTGGAGATTTGTATTCTATCGAGAAATCAAAATTTGTACTTCTGACACAAACGACTTAAGAATTGAAAAGGTACATTCGGATTTTGCTAAGACAAAAAAGAAAAAAGCTACGCTACAAAAAAATAATATTTTTCCAAAGTCATTGATCGATGATCGCGTAGATTGAATGTGTTACGCGCGCGCCAGCATTTCGACCAGGAGTCCTAGAAATCTTATTTTGTTTCAGCATCTTCCACTGGCTTCCACTCGGCTTCAACGATTTCACTATGATTCAGTTCATCAACGTATCAGCGCAATGTGTATACAGTTACATATTTCGAATATATCATATTCAATCTTCTCAAATAGTGTATAAAACCGCATGATATACAATAAATAATGATACACGTAAGGCGGTGTGTATAAGTATCGATCGCTCGTGTGCGCTGAAGTTTCTCTCTTCTCTTCTTAATAATAAGAAGGAAAAGGAATGCGAAGAATCGTCGTGAGGCAACGTGTATAAATACCGACCACTTGTATACAGAAATGTCTCTCTCTCTCTCTCTCTTCATTTCCTTCCTCATAATAAAAAAAAATGAACAGAAAGAAAGAGAGACACCGTTATATCTTGATCGACGCAGTGCGGGTAATGTACAAAGTTTACGTGATTACACGAGAGAAGGACGCGAGATAAAATTACGCAATGCGAAAAGATCAGTTGAAGTAATCTTCTTTCCACAGCGACTCTGCACATTCGCGACCTCTTACGGCCTCAGCCGGGCTGAAATCACTGATCGCTAATAAACTAACTGATACACAGATCGCAATTGAGCAAAATCGTTTGTAATTCACAGAAACGGCAAGCAAAATCCCAAGTTATCTCTTCTTGCCTCATCCTTACGGAATAGCGTTCATCTTTGTAATCACATGAGCATAAACAAGGGTTGATGTGTGCCGGCCGAACAGGAAGTCGAAGTGATTCAGCCTCTTTAGCGTCACCGTAAACTTCTCTACGACATTCGGCAATTTTCTGCTCAATATATCCACGTCCTGAAATTGCACGATATTTTGCAACAAAATAAAACACCAAATCCAACGTACAGTAAAGAGAAAGTACTTAAAAATTTTCTTGCGGGATGTAAGGTTTGTTTTACAGAGAAATAAGGTTTATTTCTGTATAAATCTTATATTCTGCAAATAAATTTCTAAGTACTATTTTGTCAGTATATTAATTGCAAAAATGACAGAGAGTTGCCTTTGCTCAATCGATTTAACGACCTTTCGCGATAACGAGGGAAAATTGAGCAACGTCTTTAAGCTACCTTTGGATGACCCAGCCAATCGTTCAAGCCGATGCACAAAAGCACTGGGGCCGTAACTTTATGCACGGGATATTCGGGCGGCTTAATTCGCTTGTAAATCTTAATGTTTGACAGTATGCCATAATCGTAAGGCTGGAAATGACCTGCGAAAGAGAAACGATTGATCCGTCTGAGGAAAATCGCACGCATATGCGGTAAATCCCGTTGTCACGGGGGCCGATACCTGGATTTTGAATGCCCATCGCGTAGTGAACCAATTGCTTGTACGAACATCCCGCGGGAGAGAATTGCAGAAATTTCCCCAAGTTCACCTGAAAATATGCAACGCTCGATGTAATCGGTGACATCTCGCGTCGTTTTGATAGCTTACGTGATCGAATTCGCCGTTGCTGAAACCGCCAACCAGGTAGATCAGTAACTCGCAGAAGGGCTGAGTTATCATATCTTTCTTACATATACCGTACGATATGGTTTTCATTGTGAACGTACTCGACAGAAGTTCGAAGTATCCGGTATACTTGTAAAGTCCCTGTCAAATCGAGCAATGATTAATACGAAAATGTCGGATGTGCTTTTCGGACGTATTTGAAATCCCGATATCTAATTTAATTTAAGAAAGTTGTAAGGCTCAGTGTTATATTTTCAGTGGCGCATTTCAAGGGAGCCACTTATAAATTTAGTATTTATGAAGCACAATTACGTTTTTATTTCACTACCTAAGTAATAGAGCTACTACGACGATTAATAAAATTTGCACGCGATATTCTCAATGTGAAAATATGAGATGCTCGCAAGATCAAAACATGCGGGAGAGTTGTACCAGCAAACGATTTGCGAGAAGATATTTAACATAAAAATCGCATAATATATCGTCGAATCAGGATGCCAGCAATGTATTAATAATTTGCACGAGATTTGCTGATGCATAGAATACGTACCCATACAACGTGCAGGTCTAAAAGACGTCTCAGAGATGTCGTTTATTTGACTCAAAGACATCTTTATGACGCCGAAAGAATCAGATTGTGTGGAATATACACGACTGAACATATTTCACAAACAGAATGTAGGCAAGCAGGCTTGTAGGCACAACAGGCGCAAGCTTTGCGCGCAAGAATTGTTATCTAGATGGTCACTTACGTTTTTCTTCTTATCTAAATTCGAGTTGAATGCTTTAACGTGAGCGCCACTCGATGCGCTACTTACCTTGAAGAAATAAGCGAAGTAACTGAGAATCTTCAACACACCAGTGATGTGTCCTGTGTAAGCGACAGGAGCTAAGGCGGTCATGAGTTTGATCTTCTCGTTGTACTCCGGCCTGAGAGACATCAGGACCCAAAACTGTGTTGTTCCCTGAGAGAAGCCTATATAGAACAGTTTCTTCTGACCGGTTTTATCCAATATGTAGTCTATCATAGCGGGTGTGTCGTAAAGACCGATCTCGTGCCAGCTAAAACAAGAAAAAGAATTGAGAATGTTGGAATTCTGGTCGAGCATAAAGCTGTAAATCAAGACGAACAAATGGAAGATTTTTAGATTCAGTAGCTGAATCGTTCTCACACTCTTCATGAAAATGAAGAGGCTGGAATGTAAAATTTTAATATCGAGAGGATCGCAAAAGATGAAACGGAGAATGGTAATTTCGGAATTTCACATTACCTAAAGTCCCAAAATTTCGCGCTTTGTATGGAGAGTTCCGTGTGGTTTTTGGAGTTTGTGGTTCCACGGACGTTACCGAGCCACACATCGTAACCATCATCAGATAAAAGGAAAGCTGATCGTGGTAAACAGAGATTTATTTTTAGGATCGACGTTCGTTTTAGCCTAAATTAAAACCCGCTCAAATGAATATCATACCGATCGAACGATTTCGACCCGTTATCAGCCAATCCGCCGAAGACCCTAATAATCCGTGCATGAGCAATACTACCCGCCGATTTGGAGCGTTCAATTTACTCGGGTCGCTAGGAGGTATCCGATGCAGAGCTAATATGTATCCGTCTTCGGTTGTCACATAATGAAGTTCGAACAGATAACCATTTTCCGCAACGTAATCTCCCTGTAAGTGCGAAGCTTAATTAAAGCAAGATCGACAGTCATATTGGCTACAGGATATCAGAGACGAGGAATGACATGCAGTAAATTTTTTGCGACATCAAATTAATTTATTCTTAATTTTTCCTGAAACACGCTAGCTTCACAATTCCGCAATTGATCGGTTCGCCGCATATTTTAGAGGTTTCAATATTATGATTACACTGATTAATGCTATATTGATAATATATTACTATGTTTTTTAGGGAAATAAATCTATATGTCGCAAGAAATTTATTGCATTTTTCGCCCATAGCTGCCGGAAATAAGTTATAACATTTTCTTCCCGACTTTTAACTGCGACTGATTTTTGCACGATCCAGTATTTTTATTTTATAATTTTCAAATCAGAAATATATCCTAGTAAGCAAGAAATCATGAACACAGTATCTATCAATCATTATTATAATGATATATTTTATAACATGTAACATTTTCAAATATGTAGTTCTTAATATTGTATACGACGTTATTCTTAACAATATTTGACCCCAAAACATTAAAAATAATATTTCTGTACTATGATTTTAATATCTAAGAATATTATCAAAATAACAATTTCAAAAGATCGATTTAATATTTCTTGCTCAGTGGGATCAGATCATGTCTCACAAGATTCCGCTTACCAGCATTTTGTTAGGACTGTTCAACGGAGGCAGCAATTCGCGTGTCCGGAACAGACCATTCACGAGGGTGATACAACTCAACAAGACGAAACACCAACTTGTAGCCATTTTGTCGATCGATCAAGCCTGCCGATGTTTACGATGTAATATTTGCAGGAGCATGCACTTTACGTTATGAACGTGTATATTACAAATGACCTCGCACATTGATTTTTCAACAAACAGGCGAATGTGAATCCGAACAGCCAATATCACGCGCTTGCTTTCCCAATAATAACGTATTTCGATCATCGATAAACCATTAAGGAAGTTATAAGGCAAAATGAGCTTGATAAGAATTCGATGAAACATACACTACGTATACATTGAAATATTACGTAACTGCTTTTGCAATTAGAAAGAGATTGATTATCGGAGAGTCGAGATAATTGCAACTCGACACTTATTATACGTGTTCTTTGAAATTAATGTGCTATTTTTTATTTTCAATTTCTTTTAAACTAAAAATAAGAGTTTGACGAAAAACTATTATAATATTAAAGGCCGCAATATGCAAATATATACAAATTTCAAAATGATTGACCATTTTGTTTTAAAAATACAGCGGTGCAAAGTTCATAGTTCATAGTAATACTCGAAATAAATTCACATTACACATATTTAAAGGCTTGATATAACTCTTTTTGTTATCTGTGCACTTCTATTAGATCAACTGATGCATAAATACAACATTGATAAGAAAAAAAAAAAAATATTTGTGCAATATTGTGTGTTTACCTTAAACATTTTGAGTTTAAGTAGTAAAATTAATGTATAAGAGCCTAATGTTGTTTGCTAAAATTTACCAGTGATTCCCGCCTCGATGTGTCACTGAAAATACAACGCCAAGCCTTACAGCCTCCTTAAGATGATTCTTTTCGCCTAATTGTAATCGCATCGAAGAGATTCACAGACGACGCACGAAAGTAAAGTAAAACAATTTTACACTCACCGGAGAATTTTACAACACAAAAGTGGCTTCGGACTAAATTCGCGCGCGAAATAGTGTTCAGGTGCAACCTTCTCTCTTGGAGAAGAGGAGAAAGAGAGTGTTTCTCTCCGAGCGGTCGCGCGATGCTTGTCGCGCTCTTGCTTCGGGGTAATATACCCTGCCGGCGCTTTCCTCCTCGGACGAGTCGCGGACGTAAACCGCGTCTAAATAATCTACTTCCACAGGACAGCCAGACACGTTTCCGCAAATCCCTCCCCCATCCGTCCCGCGCGGCATTATCCGTCTGCTGCTCACGTACGGATATATCACCTGTTTTCGCACGCCGACACGAAGGATCTCGCCGACGATATCGGGACCGCGGCGGCGCGATACACACGTATCCGCGCGCGCTTCCGAATGCGGGAAATTTTTATCCGCTCCGGCATGCGGAGACGCATGATCCTACGCGCGATATCGCCGGCGGAATTTTCGAGCGGAATGAAAATTCCGCTGACGTGACAGTGACATGACGACCGATAGTCGCAAAAATGCACCGGATGACTAATTGCGGCGAGTTGTCGTGTTCGCATGCGAGAAGCCGCAAGAGATTATTCTTGATCGCATTACGTATACTGGTTACACTAGTCAACAGATAGAGATTCCTCCTCGATAACACGAATTAAATGAGGTGGTTCTTATGCTACAATTTTAAGTAAATATTAGGGGTATCCATAAGTAATGTCTTTTTTGACATATAAGTGCATAATATTAAGTAATATTTCTGAAATGTTAATAGGTGGTTATATGTTCACCCTTCTAATAATATTTAAAAAATAATATTATTTAATGTTATTATATTTTTTTAATATTCAACTCTCTCTTTCGTGAAACATCAAATGTCTAATATGCACCTTATCCACACTTTGGCCTTCCATTCTTAACGGTACGCTCAAATTCTTTCCAAATTTCACAATAAGCACACTAAATGTCAATAAATTTAATTAGTATATAGGTTATATGCAATAATAAATCACGTCTGCGAACAAGGTGTAATGTTTACTCAACCTGAAAAAAAAACGACTTACTTATGGGTACCCCTAATATATAAATAAGCTAAGTCGTAGATTACGAAGCAATCATAAGAATTGGAGTTACAGTCTCAAGCTTAGTCTACAACGGGCAGTAGGAGTGCGAATTTGATTAGAAGTAAGAATAAGAAATTGACCGGCGTTTTCGCTCCTCTGCGTTTCTTTCGCGCTTTCAATACGTCATGTTTGCCCGTTCTCTCAATTCCATTCGAGAAAAGAATATATTAACGATCTTTATAACTGAAAATATACGTTCGCGTCGTCACGCGGCTCAGTCTCGTGTTATACGAGAGTCGCTTTGTCGAGAGAGTGGTTCTGAATTATTGCTTTCATGAGGAAGATAATTCAGACTGTAAAATTTGTTCGAAATGTGATGAAAAATCAAGAGCGCATGGCGGGATATCGAAGGACGGACACAAGGTACGTGTTTCGCGTGAGTCTTGTTAAGAATGAAAAAAAATTCAAATAGTGTAAGCTTTTTATTACAATGTGTAACGAATCGTGAATCGAAGAAAAAAATATGAAGAACGCTCGAAAAACATATGTGTGTATGCGCGCGCGCGTATGTGTGTGTGTACGATCTGGTCTTATCTAATTGCTTGTCCTCGCATTCGACACGATCAAAATATATACAGATTACGACGGAAGTTACACGTGTGCATCGAACATCTTACAGAACAATACACGACCCGATCGACCGATTTGTTAAGCGCCAAAATACCATCTTGATCTTTCGACGAGTCATAGCGACACATAGCGTTGCCGTCCTATGTACATACGCACAGTCGACAAATTCAAGGTTGCACACCCGGTAAATTAAAACTCGCGACACTTTTATACATTTTTTTAGATTCGCCATATATCTCATATCGAATAAGAGAACACTTTTTTTTTCGAGTCATTCGGAGGTCATTCGGAAAATATATTTTCTCATTGAGCTGAGATACGTTACGAAATACTTATTGAGATGCATTACAAAACACCGAAAAAGTGTTGCAATTTTTAATCTGCCGACTGTGTGTGTATGTGCGTACGCACTTCGAGAGAAAAGCGGTAAGGATCAATACTTGAAACCGATACATCTTCTAAATTACTTTCATGTATGCATATTACTGTACATATATGCATTAAACATTTCTCACAAAGTTTCCTCTGCACTCTACGCGTACGAAAAATTCTGAATTCTCTTATTCATTCTGAATCTTCCCTCACGGCTACTTGCGGCGCGTTTCGGTTTTGCAGTTCAACGGATCAGTCTTTGCGCAAGATTATTTTTCTAAAAAATCTTCTTTTCTTTCTGAGGTCATCGTATTGTCCGAGGCGAAACTTGGCTAATCCGCGTTGTCTATTGTCAAACTAAAAAGACGCATTCTCTCGAAGGTATACATAGAATTGTGAAGAAAAACACGTTATACCGCGCATCGAAACTCCTGAATATATACAAGTAAAAGAACACTAGTAAATGAACTGTATACGAAGATATTTGTTTTTGTAGAGAATACCGATTGAACGGAATTGAACGTCTCGTTCAGTTATTAATAATCAACTATTAATAGTCCATTCGACTCCCTATTGAAATCTCCTCATTCAAATACAAACATCGCACAGTTAATGAGGTAAACACGATTGCTTTTACGTAATAACGGTAACAATGTTCAGAGGCAATACCTTTGCAATACGTATAATAATTATACGTGTCAATAGTCATCTATACCATAACACGATATTAAATTTCAATCAAGTCGCTCTGCTTCTGGCAAAACGCAATTTAACATATTCATATAACATATTTGAATAATGAATTAATTGAACCGATACAAATATATAGAATCGCGAAAAAACATAATATATATTATATATTCTATATGTTGTACACATATATATATATATATATATATATATAGAAAGAGAGAGAGAGAGAGAGAGAGAGAGATTATATATACGAAATCTATATGAAAATATGAATTCCAGTAAAAAAAAACTAAATTTGACGATTTTGATATTTTACATAATAATATACAGGATGGCACAGAAGGCAGGAACTTACATCTATAAATAACGATTGAAAGGGAGGATTCATTATTTATCCAGAGTTATATAATGAATTTTAAAATAAAATACATTACATCTGAGGGAGAGAGAGAGAGAGAGAGAGAGAGAGAGAGAAGTTACGCATTCCTTTAAATGAAACAACTTAAAACGAAAAAAATTGAAAAATAAAGCCTTATGGAAATGATTTCACACCTCCAATAATTGATTTATATATATTTAGCATTTAAATTAAAAAATTATTAGTATATTTAAATATATATTACATCTACCTCACATGGTTCTGAAAAACCATCCTGTATAAATACGAACAAAGAACAAATTATTTCAAGGCAAACATATCAGATAGCGCTATCCATAGGCGATGCGATGATTGTAAAATCGGCACTATCGATGCAAGCGCGTTATCACTACTGTCTTCTGCTAATCGTGCTTCACGTTTAACAAAGATTTGCAATATCCTAGAATCTACCATGAGATGATCACTATGTATCGTAATCCTCGTCGATACCGGCAGTATAATTGGAATTCGACGTCGCTCGACTACTTGTGCTTTCACTTAAATTAGTGGGATTGAGTTCCATATAAAAATTTGGTTGGCTCATTTGAAAGGACACAGGTATGGACATCTCGAACTGTGGCACCTGTGGGGTTAGCTTTACGATGACCTCTTGTGGATTTTCTCTTGTGCATTTGTGATTTGGTACATCCAACTGCTTTTGATGTCTATAAACACATGATAATTCAGCGACCAAGGTACTATGTACCAAGGTACTTTCTTTGTAAATTTAAGCAAAAAGATATTACAAGTAAAACAATTCTATTACAAAAGATATACCGACTCTATATTCTATTTCTTTCCAACGTTTCTCATGTAAAACTTATTGTGAAAGATGATATGGATAAATGATTCACAAGGAACTTATCTTCTATATGACACATTGTGTGTGCAATTTATACGACGATTTAGCAAAGCCATTATTATACAACTTTTTGTAAGGAACTTACTCTAATTCAGAATGTGGTGCATTGTTCATGGCTGTGTTCGTTGTTGATACTGATGCTGACGTTGACGCTGGAGTTGCTGGTGGCGTAGGTACTTCATCATCAGGTGCTGGTACATCAGGCAGAGATTTCACCAGATCTTTCAAAAAATCAAACCGACTCTCCGACATGATACACTGTTTCCTACAAATAGATGTATACACAAGCTTTATTTAAGGTAATTGAGATAAATCCTCTGAATCATTGCTTAATATCTATTGTCTATGACTTAAATATTCTTTTAGATCCATGATAGAAGTTATGTCAATCAAGAGCAACATTCATTATGCATCCATTGAGCTCATTTTTCTACTGAGTACATATTTACTTACATATGAGTTGGACTTAGAGTCTTGGCATTTTTGGCACTTGTTATCTGCATGGCCTTGGTCAGCAACGAATGTACAAACAGTTCTAAAGTTCTAGGTAAACTATATTAAGGAAAAATTAGCCACATAGAAACATTAAAAGCATGATTATGTCATAATCGCTAGATCTACCTAGGAATTTATTTCTTGCACATGATCAAAAAGGATATAAATTATAATCGGCACTGCTTGGGCAACTTTTCCAATCTCCTCGTCCGTCTGCATGATTTTCTTGATACGACCCTGACAACAGACATCCGAGATTAACCTTAGCTTAACGGTGAACTTTCGCTCAAATTTGTGATTTAAAAAATACTTTTCTCTCTCTCTCTCTCTCCAACAAAGATTTAAAATTTAAGTAACTTTAAATCGACGTAATATCGAACAAGACAAACCTCAGAGTCTTTTTTACCAGTGTTGTCATTAAATTCCGCGACAACCGGGAAAGATGCACAATGTTCACTTACCGCTGGGAAACGGGCATTGTATTTCCTCTTTTTACTGGGCATATTGTTCTTCACGCACCACGAGGGACAAATCGAATTTTAGAGTACGGCACGGCGCAGCTATACACGATGCAACACGCACGCACGCATGTACGTAACGTGACGCGTAAACAAAACGAAACAACAAAAGTTCTCGCGCAAAGTTTCTGCGTATTGTCTGTACCATGCAGCGAGAACCGATCTAAAGATCGTATCACACTGCGGGTTGCAGGCTCGGTTAAAGTTGATTTGGTTTAGGGAACTGACCAATCAACGGTCTGTTTTTGGCTTCATCTCGAAAATGTGCTGAAAGTATTGAAAATCCATACTATACGTGACGTAAATTATAGATTTTCAGTCAACATATTTCGAATATATATTTTCATACTAACATATATTCGGCTCGAGTAGAACAATCTCGATAGCATCATTATTGGGAAAGTTACAGCCTGTTGTATTTCACCTATGTTTTATTATGACGTCTGACCTATGTACCTATGTACGTCTGACCAGCCTTTGAGCCATACTATTTGAGAAATACGTCTGATTCCATCGTTCAGTCATATCACCTCATTTTTTTTTTTTAATTGCATATAAAGGGTGTACAAAAAGGTGTACAAGGTCTAGGAACTTAGCCTATCCGACCATAAGCGCTATAGTATCACAGTTTGTTTACGATGGTTACATAATATTGACGTCGGAGAATAAACAAAATTTTTACAATCTTATATCAAGACCTCCCTCGCAAAGGGTGTACAAAAAGGTGTACAAGGTTTAGGAGCTTAGCCTATCCGACCATGAGCACAATAGTATCACAGTTAGTTTACATTAGCGTGGGTTACATAGTTTTGGCGTCAATGAATAAACAAAATATTTGATTACATAGCTTTGACATCAATGAATAAACAGAATTTTTATAATCTTATAGATAAATTAGTTGGGTGAATAACTGAGGATGGTTGTATACGCAAAAGGAGGAAGTTGTGTAGTAACCGGTGAGACGGGAGAAAAAATAAAGAGGAAAGAGAGTATAATTACGCCTCCGCTGTCGTAAGCTTTAGCGCATGTGTTTGTCGAGATTAAATCGCACGCAGACTTATGTGTCTAGGTTGCAAATGTAGGTGGAGTGAATGCGGCAAAGTGGAGGTAGTTTTTGGTCTTAAGATATTACGGACTTAGACCCAGTGAAGCGCCTGCAATTGAACACACAGGAAGGGTTATATGAATATATTTATTCCATTTATGAACTGGCCTAGTAGAGTGTAGCTTTTCAGATCTTTGGTCGCTAGAAGAGATTGGACCGGCCAAGGCAGGGTACGAAACGTGGTCATTCCGTTTCGCAACAAGATATCCCTCTGAGCTTCGAAGCGAGGGCATTGCCAAATTACGTATATCACGACCTCAGTTTCTCGTTAAGTATAGTGGCAACTCGTAGCGGAGATTCTCGAACTAAGTTTCAGAAATAACGGGTCTAATAATTCCATGGACCCGTTATTTCTATAATGGGTACATTATTAATGTACATATATATAAGTTGATAGAATATAATTTATTATAGTATTCTCTTTCAAATGTTAATATATTACATATAATTATATAGAAATACGTTGCAGGCAAGTTTCACAAAACCAAACATCTCCAACTATATAATTTACAATTATAAAAAGAAAATATACATACATAAAATATTTCTCCTATAATTTCTCTAATCGTTACAAAAGGCACGTTAAAATGTTGATTGACGGAAAGCCCAATTACCAATAATAAAAATGTTTTAGCGAAGCATAATTACGACAGAAACGTGGTTATCGATCGTGAATCTCTGTCGAGCTTGCAGTCATTATTCGGCTGACGTTTCGCGATTGATGCTACGACAACTTCGGCGCCTTCCAGTTTCCTTTTCACGCTATTCTCACCCGGTTTGTTGATCTCTCGGTACAGATTCTGCGCGATATGGAAGTCCGTGTGCTCGTCGTACCTCGTTACGGGTATCATCTGACCGCATTCCGCGCACCGTTCCAAAGGCTCGCTCGAGTCGGTCTTGATCAGGAAGTTGTCCAACAGGGGGCTGCGTCTCTTTGCTTTGGACTTGCCGGGTCTTCTCTTAGCCGTCTTCGCCGGCGGATCCCGCGAAACTTTCTCCCGCTTCTTATCGCGCGATCTCACGTACGACCTCGCCTCCTCCTGCAAATCAGGCGGTAGTATAAGTAGGATATTGGGATCCATGTCGTCCAGGTTTGGAAATATCTCTCGCAGTAACGTCGAAGGATTTTGCACAGTGCTTTCCTTCTTCTCAGAGGAGTCGTGCACGAGAATAGCTGCGCGACTCGATGACGGTCTCTCGTGATCGTTCTCGTCCTCATTCTCTAGTATATACAAGTCGGAATTACTGGTATCCAGACTCTTCACAGCCGATTGTTCGCCTCGTTCCGATTCCTCCGTAGCCCCGCAACTTCCGTTCTCGCAGTTATCTTTCTTATCAGTCTTGAATATGTTCATGAAGAAGGAATTTTGAAAATCGTTATTATTTATTGCCATGCTCGACATGCGTTTCAACTTTAACTTGGCCTTGTTGCGCTCCTTGCACACCTGCATCAGCTTGAAGACTTTCTTCGACGTGGGTGAATCCTCCGCGTCTATGTTCAACGAATTATCGATTCTCTTACTTTCTTTTGCCACCGTTTCGCTCGTTGTCGCGACCGATTCCTCGGTATTTCGAATCGACTCTTCCTTGCTGGTAACAATAGCGGAAAGCTTCTCCCTTTCTGCTTTTGGAGGCTGATCGTAGATAGTGATGACGGGAGGTTCTGCTACTTCAAAATTCGACTTGAGACTTGTTTCACCTCCGGGCTGACTTGTCGTCTTCAATTGATCGATGACAGGATTTACTTTATCGCTACTTTCCGGCTTAACGGTTTTAAAGAATTTCAAAAAACTACCGCTCTCCTTCGACGGTATGAACTTGCCGGCGGTAATGCCCATGTATGCTATTGGACACAGCGTCGATTTAGTGATAACGTCCACGCAATGGCTCGCTATTTTTTCCGGCTTGTACGAGTTCAAGGTAAGCGAGCGAGATTGGGACACGGTGCTTCTGTTTTGATAGTAATGATAAGAGACGGTGAGCAGCGTTGCGCGTCGCTGGTTCTCCGCGAGATCTTGCTCGAGCCGCTCGCAAACTTCCGCCGCCAAGTCTCCAGCCCAATGTTTCAACTGTGAGTAGATATTTCTCGTCATATATCATTCTTACGTTATATACGTGGTATTTGCAATTTTATATAAATAATTTATACTATGTTTGAATCTGTTTACATATGTTGAGTTTTTCTCGTATTGATTAGCTTACCACTTCTAAGGAGGTAATGGCCTGTTTTCCAGGAAATTTCTTGCACGCTCCAACGGACTTCGATAGCAACCTGTTGGTGACGGGCTCGTTGTCTATACCTCGGGCAATATTGTACAGCCATAATCTAAAAAATCGTGAGTTTACGAATCGTTGATTAAGATTGCTAAACTTCGTTCATAGAGAATTTTTCAGATCTACCCTGTTTTCTCGTCGAAATGCTTTTGTAGTTGTTCCAAAGGATATTGCATTAAATCACCCATAACCTTGCAACCAAGAGACTCGACTACGATATCGCCGAACTTCCCACCGAGGTTTCTGACCTTCTTTACCGGGAGCGTCGAATAGAGACTCGCGACCGCCGCCTCGTGTAAGATCGTTTGACAATTCGGTTTATGTAATCCGCATGCTAATTTCGCTAAGATCTGAAAATTAACGTCTAAAATTAATGCAAGAGTCGTTGAAATGCGGTTCGCAGGTAAAATCTAGAAAATACTGTCAAGTAACTACGAGATATATTATTTGCAACCTTATTCTGCGAGATTCCAGCCGAACACCTAAATCCAGTCTCCTTGTATATATTGGCTCTTATTTCTTCAACTATAACACCTGCTACTGCAAGCTTCTGTGCTTGAGTGTCATGTAGCTCCCTAGAAGAGTTTAATATCCATGTCTGCAGCCCTTGACGTCTCTCCTCTGAAACGTAATAATATAATTCTACCCAAATTGCAGTTTTGAAACAATTTATTTAATTTTTACAATACCTTCATTGTTCTTGCCAACCTCTGTATATCCCACAATATATGTATTTGCAAGAGACGATATTAGTTCTTTTGAGGAGATTGTATCTAATCTTTTCTCAACAATATTTGTAATATCAAGATAAGCTTCATCGACACTAGCACGCTCTATCATATTACAGTGTTTTCTTATGACTTCAATAACTTCACGACCAGCCTTTCTATACCTATATGGACAGAGTGTAAGTTTTTAAATATAAAATATATATTATAACATGCAATATATGAATAAATAATTAGCTCACTATATTTTATATAATTTTTATGTAAAAATTTTGCTGTAACAGCTAATCATTACCTGGTTGTATCTGCTTTTCCACGAAGACAAGGCACACTAGCTAAAACTATATTCGGACATATTTCTTTAGCTTCCTTGCCTCTCATGTGTCTAGTTACTCCAAAACTTCGTGCTTCATAATTCACAGCTATTATCCTATAGACAAATGAAAAACATTATTATTCACTGTCATTTATTGATAATTACACTTAATAAGATAAATATTATATTTCTAAATCAAAGATTGGTATTTTCTTTTTCCAGGAAAATTACAAGTTTTTCTGAAAAAAATTGATCTTGGAAAATATTTAAAAAGCTATCCTTTATATAAAATGCGATTATCCATATTTTAACTACATAAAATTTACGAAAATAAATTTTTCTTACCCGCCCATCTCCCATTGATTATATTGAACCACAGCGAGCGGTTTTCCCGTGTATTGCGGCTGCAACTTTGTTTCAACTTGACAGAAGAAGCAATCCATGTCTATTAGAACGACGATCCTGTTGCCCGGATTAGCCATTTTAGCGGGACTTCTTACAAAATTAATATGTTCACTAAAGATAACTATGAAACTTTATTTTCAAGTCAACTAACTCGATAAAGCGTTGATATCCTACACGACTCCATCTTAATGTGATGCATCTTGATGATGCACGACAAGCTTGGACAGGTTATATGATGTTTACATATGAAACAGCTGTGGAGATAGGGTGCTTTTCCAACAACATACATTACATTACGCAAGTCGTCTTATTGGTTAAATATTATCTTAAAATGATCTTAAGATAATATTTATCCAGTGTGAAACGACTTTCTGTTATATGTGCTTGCTGAAAAACACCGATTGATAATTTTGTTATAACTGTTCTTTCTAGTTGTATCTACGACATTCATTAACAAATATGCAAAAAATTTAAAGTTTTCTCTTTAAAACGCCTGTATCACATTTTCGGATCAAATAATTTTTCGCTCTGAAAACTCAACTGAAAGGTGAAATTTGAAATTGAGCGGTTGCCATGTTTCGTTTAACTCGAAATATTTTGACGAAAATTAAGGACAATATTAATATAGCTAATGTGATGAAAAACTAGAGACTTCAAGCGTAAAAGTGCTTTTTGAACGATCTCGATAGCATCATTATTGCGAAAATTACAGCCTGTTGAATTTCACCTGTTTTATTACAATGGAAAGTACTTCTGACCAGCCCTTGAATCATACTACTTGAGAAATACGTCTGACTCCATCGATTAGTCATATCACAACCTCAGTTTCTGGTTAAGTATAGTGACGACTCGTAGCGGAGATTCTGGAACTAAATTTCAGAAATAACGGGTCTAATCATTTAGTTGACCCGTTATTTCTGTAATGGTTATATTATTAATGTAACGGGTTTATGGAATGATTGGATATGTTATTTCTGAAATTTAGTTCTAGAATCTCCGCTACGAGTTGTCACTATACTTAACGAGCAACTGAAATCGTGATATGACTAAACGATGGAGTCAGGCGCAGGTCTGAACGTATTTATGACCGTAACGCGTAAGTATAAACTCGGCTTGAGATAAGAAGAGAGTTAGTTGTCGACACGTGCTCGAGCCGCACGGTAAGGTATTCCGACAGCTATTGTCCGATTTTGTCGTTAGCATCGCAGAGAAAGTGAAGTTTACCATGGCGAAATTAGGTGAAGTATTACTGAAAATCACGCATTTAATCGCAAAACGATAGAATGTAATGCAATCTGTGATGTGTGTAATTGATAAGTGAAGCGGTTAATCTCGTGCGTAATATATTTTCCTTTACAGTCTCTCTGAGGAAACTTATTTCACGCGAAATAAAAAAAAAGTTTTATTGTTATACGTTCACAAACGAAATTATTGAAAAATTAATTTAGATTTGAAAAATTACAAGAAGTTTTCCACAACAATTTTTTCTATTTGCTTTTTTTGCAATTAAATGTAATTCTTTGTAAGTATGTGTTGTATATACATGTAATATTCTTTTCCTTTCCTTCTAGAATGTGATATATACAATGACATGAGCGATGACGATAGTGGAGACGATTGGGATGAGAATGGTGAAGATGATTACAACATTCTGTGTCTATTTTGTACAGAAACCATTAATGGGTTTTCCACTGCACTGCATCACATCGAAACCCTCCACCAATTTAACTTGTGTAATTTTGTAAAAAGACACGTTCATGACACTTATACATATATTAAGTTAATCAATTTTATTCGACATAAGGAGATTTTACCTGAACAATTGAGTATATTAGGTGTAGAAGCTTGGGACAAGGAAGAGTACATGCATCCTACCATGGAGGATGATCCATGGTTAATGTATGGCAAGTACAGAGACTTTCAAATATGAATCGGTCTTTTGTATTTGTAATATATACTAACTTGCAAATATTATTTTAATAAAGATATCGAAGACCTCATCAATATTAGAGATATGAGCGAAGAGAGGATAGCAAAGCAAATACACTTGAATAGTAGCAATGGTAATGTTACTTTGCCAGAGGTGCAATATGAGGATATGAAGAAAACAATACGGTCTCTCACATCTCAGCTGAAGGAAAGCGAAACAATGTGTTTCCTGGTGAAACAGGTATAGATATACAGGGTGTCCCAGACCACCCGTCTCACCCGATTTTTTCGTAAACGCGACATTTTAAAGAAAAATGTTTCAGACAAAAGTTTTGTGACTTCGAGGGGCACATAAGATGGTGTCATTGGTTTGACCTTGGATAGTCGTTTGAAGATCACGTGAAGGTCACCTTTAATTTCTTAAATGGAAACCCCCATTTTTCAATGCATATTCTTGTAGCTTGCCTCGAGAGCTTTCCAAAACGCTATAATGACACGTTTTTTTAATCAGTACTTTTCGAGTTATGAGGGTTGAAAGTTACTGTACCGCCGGCCAAGGTGGAGGTTGCACGGTCGGATTTACATCTCTTTGTGTGTTGTATGTTTGTGTGTGTGAATGTGTGTGTGTCAACAGAGATAAGGACCCCACGGTTCGTCACTCCCGTAGTATTTATCGACTCCAAACCCTCTCTGCTGTACGCGGGCATGTGTGTGTGTGTGTGTGGGGCTGATGTTATTAGGCCTGGTGTTCGAAATGTCCACCGTTTGCTTCAATGCAAGCAAGTACTCTTTTCTCGAAATTATTTGTTGCATGAAGAATTTCATCAACACATAGAGAACGAATAGCGAGACGTATTCTACGAATCATATCATCTTAATATCATCCATATCACCTAAAATAAGCATCATATCACAAGCTTCCGCGTTTGAATACGACATGGCTGGTAAATGAGAATTTTGTTACACCTTACGTGACAGTATCAGACATGTCATACATCACGACTGGGTAATGCTAATGCCGGCGGTACCGTAACTTTCAATCCTCATACCTCGAAAAGTACTGATTAAAAAAACGTTTCATTATAGCGTTTTAGAAAGCTCTCGAGGTAAGCTACAAGAATATGCATTGAAAAATGGGGGTTTCCATTTAAGAAATTAAAGGTGACCTTCACGTGATCTTCAAACGACTATCCAAGGTCAAACCAATGACACCATCTTATGTGCCCCTCGAAATCACAAAACTTTTGTCTGAAACATTTTTCTTTAAAATGTCGCGTTTACGAAAAAATCGGGTGAGACGGGTGGTCTGGGACACCCTGTATAATCACCGAATATTAATATAATATTTTCTTATATGGTATTATGGGGAAATAGTAATAAAATTGTTTGTATCATTTTAGCAAATGGAAGAAATGAGCGAGAAAGCGCAGAAATTGATACTGGGCTGTGATTCAAATGGAAAAGAGAAGAGCGTTCCTGTCAGTGCTCACAATCCCAATGTTGATGAAGGATATTTTAACACATACAGTCACTTCGCGATACATCATGAAATGCTGACAGTAAGTTATGTTTATAGTTATAAGGTTATGAGTAAATTTCATCAATCCAATTCAGCTTGGTGAAATTATAGGCAATATTTGCAAGATTATGAAAAATAGATTATATCGAGATTATCTTGTTTGACTAAAGAAACATCACTTGAATTTGTTCAGAAAAATAAAATATTAATCAGTGTGTATTTGTTATCAGGATAAAATACGGACAGAGAGCTATCGCGATGCTTTATTGACAAATTCTAATCGATTCCACAATTGTGTAATGTTAGACGTTGGCTGTGGGACTGGTATCCTGTCAATGTTCGCGGCAAAGTCTGGCTGCCGCAAAGTTATCAGTGTTGATCAGTCTGATGTAATCTATCATGCTATGGATATAGTGAGGTGCTTATTACTTTTGTATATATCTAGTCATACTTTTACATATAATCAGCTATATATTTAAAGCATAACATAATACGTACATTTTCCCTAAATTTTAGAGAGAACAATCTCAGTGACATAATTACTTTAAAGAAGGGTCGTCTGGAGGATATTAGTATCGAAGAGGAGAAGGTAGACGCGATAATATCTGAGTGGATGGGTTACTTCCTCTTATTTGAAGGAATGTTAGACACCGTTATTTATGCTAGGGACCACTATTTGGCACCTGGTGGAGCAATACTTCCAAATAGATGTACAATTAGTATCGTAGGAAGCGGTGATACCAGTATGTCTTGTAATTTTAATTTTACTCTCTCTCTCTCTCTCTCTCTCTCTCTCTCTCTCTGCGATTATTTCAGTTGAATTATCTGCAAGATCTGACCATAATAAGGATAAATTATACGTGTGACAAATCTTTTATGAACTATTATTCTTTTGCAGAGAGGTATATCGATCTAGTTGATTATTGGACGAATGTGTACGGCTTCAGAATGAGTTGTATGAAAGCGGAAGTGGTGCGCGAGCCTAGTATAGAGATCTGTAACGTCGACGATCTAATAACGAGCACCGCCGAGATCCAAGCATTCGACTTGTACAATGTCACCACGGACTGCGTTAATTTCTCATCTCCCTTCACGTTGAACGTGAAGAAGACGGGATCGTTAACCGCGATAGTCGGCTATTTTGACATTTTCTTCGATCTAGAGAACCCGGTACATTTTAGTACAGGCCCTCACTCCACGCCAACGCATTGGAAGCAGACGGTATTCTCTTTGAGTGAGCCAATCAGTATAACCGAAGGTGAGCATATGTGTATGTCGCTTGATTTTTATGCCACGATTAATATGATAAATTTATGTCAATAGAAGTACAAGACAGAGTAAGGGCCATGGCACATAGAAAAACGTAAATAGTAAGAAAATCGACCAACTAGAATTGACTGTTCTTCGACTGTGATTGGTCAATTTTCTTACTGCTTAAGTCTTAATGCTTCTCTATGTGCCGTGGCGCTGAGTTTGCAATTTTACTACTTGTACTTTTCTTTTTACAGGCGAAGTTCTAACTGGTACATTGGTTTGTCGGAGACACGTTCAAGATATTCGAGGCTTAATCGTTACGATCCACATAAAAAATTTCAATCAAATTTATTATTTGAATTAAACGATGAAACTTTGAGTGAACCCGTTTCGAAATATGCACGAATAATAGCCGAATGTGCCAAATTCCAAAATAGGGTCCAGATATCGAGTTACAAAGTTCTTCGACTTCCGTTAGACGTTATCGTGCAAAAGTGCAAGTGCAAGTGCAAGCTGTGCGAAACGTGGTTAAGCTTTTACAGCTTTTTGCATAGAGTCCGAGATTTCCCATAAATTTAGAATTTACGATCTCCATCTTACTTAAATGGAGATGTAACTTTCGCATTTTGCGCTCTTTCGGATTCCAGCTTTTTATTTTTACGCTGGAGAAGTATATATACATACATATAAGCTAGTTTTAACAGTACATATCGCAGCGTATAATCGTTAGTATGTATACCCAATCTACGCCTTTTCATCGAAAGCGAGACATAGGATGCGACACAGCTTCTTTTGAATTCGCGAATGACAATTACGAGCAAAGCGAAATAATCGTTCATCTAGTAGTTATTTACATTTGTGCCTTTTTAATAGTAGCGCATCTTTAAACCGATTATACATTTGTAATATAAAATTTAGGGGTTTTTCGCACAGACGATAGAGTTTCGAGACCTCATAATTGACCATTTTTGGCGTATAAGCATCTGAAGCCACGATCAAAAAAAAGAAAGGAAAAAAAATGAGAAAAACCTGCAGAGCTTAATATACAGACAACGATATGTAGGGTTCGCTCAAGTCCAATTTTTAATAGATCACCCTAAGGAATATATTCAGCAAACTATACGACATTCTTCGAAGTTTTCCCGTTTCGCTTCTCAGTAGACTTTTTCTCTGACCGAGTTTCACTGATTCCATCTCTTCGGCGGAACAAAACCAACACTTGAATCGTCCGATTTTAATATTATTATACGAATTCTCCTGCCACTCTCTTCTTGCATGTGATATATACGTATGTACAAGAACGCGTACCGAATTAATAGGGGATTGTTCGTGCTACCGAATTATAAATCCGCAATCAAACAACTAAGTGCGAATTCTGTGATACGAGAGAATTAGCTACATATAGAGTGTTCATCGAGGAGCGACTTTACAACGGTGACAACCTCCGCATTTGTGTACGCGAGGATCTAATGCGGAGTAACGCTTATTTTGCTTCGTATATACGTATACATACATAAGTACATAAAATCTTTTGCGTAATATAAAATAGCGAATTTTAATCCGTGACCCGCGTGTGATTATCAGTAATTATGAATAATTACAAATTATCAATAATATGTACATCGATAATCTTTTGAAGTGCATGCAGGTCGAAATAAATCTTTAGGAACTTACAGCTTCATCTCTCTTGTACTGCAAGAACTCTCTACAAACTTTCTCGTAAATATGTACCATACATAGAATTTTAAATATAGCTTTTTTTTCATATCACACGCGCGCATAGGTTCAACCTGAATCCCTCCGACAGCTTCACGAAGATAACGTCTCTCTTACCTAGAAGAGTTTTTCAATTTTATCAATCCCTTGTCAAGTGTTTTCTACTGAATTTCTCCAATGAAATAAAAATCACAATATTTAAGGTTCCTGTTTCCTCGCCGCAGTCATCTTGATTAATGACGTCAGAAGCGAGAAAGCGTATGCCCAAAATTTTGGCGGAATACGTTGAAATAAAAAGAATGATAAAATGACACGGTGATCGATTGAGCACACTCGTAAGATATTCCGAAAACTATTCCTTTTACCATAACAATCGATAAATAACCATAAAATTAATATGACCTTACTTTTCGGCTCATTTTTTCCCATGACTTTGTCACGTTAATTTTACGGTTATTTATCGATTGTCAGAGCATAAGGAAAGTTTCCGGGATATTTTACAAATGTGGTCAATCGATCTCAAGTATCATTTTATATATTTCGCAGGACACGCGTTTTCTCATGTCCTGATGTTATTAAACCAAACGACAGCAGGGGCCAGTAGTCCTATTCTATAAATTTTTAACGACAATATTGTTACGTTATCGATGCAGAACTTCATATGTTATACCTGCGCAACAACAACATTGTTTTGGCGAAAAGTGCAATGAGCCGAAAAGAAGCAGTTAATTGCAAAGGAGCCGGCATGCCGTCGGTGAGAAATACGCGGGGTGTTCGCCGACGATACGCCACTCGTATGTTTGTCGCGGGCAAACTCATCGGGTTCATCCGATATCGCGAATAACGCGCCCGGCCGAGAATACCGGCGTCGCAAGAGAGGAAAAGCGAACGTGTGGTGTGCGCGCGTATGTTTAACGTAACTCTATCCAATAATGCACGTTCTGGCCTAGGGCAACCGAGTGTACCCCCCTCGTGCAAACACGCACGGAAGGTAGGGCAGAGCGCGCGCACGTACAAAATCTTTCTCTCTAAAAGTATTCATTTATCATTCACGTAGCATCGCGAATGTCGAGGTATTCGCCGAAAAGGGGAGATCTTTCTTCAAGACCGTCTTTTTTGCAATCTTATGTATCCGAACTATCGGAGAGATCGATCGAGCGAGGAATTTCCGAAGAGCCTTTCCTACGTACGAACTTACGCTCGATATTACGGGCGATTTCTCTCCTCGATTTCCGGCGACGGTGCGCTACTTTTTAATTGAACCGCCGTCGGGTCGAAACACCCGCTGGGATGCGCGCTCTCTTCCTCTCTCCTCCGCCGAGGCGACCGCAAAGTAATAGCCGTCGTTTAGGGCCCGGCGCGGATAAGGAGCGACGGCGGGACTGCCTGGGACGAGAGAGACCGCGCCGTGGAGGCCGGGGATAAGGGTGGCTTGTTGCGTAAGCCGATTAGAGCATCACGGCAGTCACTCCTGCCCCGTACAGCGGGACGGTGGCACGGTCTCTCCGTTCTAACGGGTGTTCGGCAGCAGCGGCGGCCGGAGACACATTAAAATCGCATGAAATATGCAGAGGCGCCCTCCCGTCCGTTCCCTCCATACCAGCGGACGAGAGCTACATCCGCGTAGGCAAAAAGCTTACTCGCCCGTCCTGGAAGCCACTCTCTCTCTCTCTCTCTCGTCGACACAAGAGCGCGTTCCGCTTTTGCGAGATATTTAGAAGATCCCTCTGTTGCGCTTCCGCAATCAGGGGATCTTACCCTGCCTTCTTCTTTCTCGTTGAGGACCAGTGCTAATGTATCGACGAATGTATGCACGATAGCATCGTTCCAATAGAGAGGATCAGGCTGATGGTAGTCGAAACGGTGGCTCTTTCCGGAGAACTCTGGTAGATGCTTCATGGATTTCAATTCGTATTATACGTGCTCGCGCGTAACCTCAAGTGTGAAATCGATGGGAATTGATTAATGTGAATTGGAAGTTTTCCAGCAGGAGCGAACTATGGATAGAACGTTAATAAATATCAGAGAGAGATTATATTTGAATATTTTCATCGTGATTGTATTTAAGTGCTATTAATGAAGATTGTTCGAATTTATCAAGTACTTACTTACGTCGATACGAAACCAGCGAGTAATGGAAGTTCTCATTTTTATAAATACGCTCTCCAGGTGGAACAGGAAGTGACGGTGGCGTCAAAATGTCGAGAAAATGATCGAAAAATGAGTTTCACCAACACCAATTAACAGTAACGTAACATTAATGTTACAATTTCTCACTCAACCATGTAAATGCAATACAACGCGTATGTTTTGTAACGTTAGGTTGAATGGGAAATTATAACATTGAAATTATTGTTAGTGTTCATACAATATAGCCATTTTCTCGTTATTCTCACGTCATCGTGATTCTATCCGGAGGCCCCCTCGGCAGCTTATTAAATCCGATTCGTTCGGGCCTGAGATTTAACGCGATCTCAACGCGCGAGAATACACCTTTCAAATACTTTCGCAACTATCGTTTCACCCCTTCACATTTGACGCGACGTATTAAACCGCCGCACAATTTCGCGGGCGAAAAGCGCAAAAGCGTGTATCTAATATCCGCTGGTCCGGGGTAATCCGAGTGCATCGCGCGGGTATTTTCACATATACGTTCCGCGAAACGCATTCTGCACACCGCGCGGTAGCGCAACACGTGGCAAAATGTTTTCGCCAGGTATCAAATAATCATGGCAAATCCGCATCGACCGCGCCGCGCTCGCTTCGCGTTAATGCCTATATTTTACATCCGTCTGTATTTAGTTCGAATAACGTTTGGCGGATAATAATGGACCATTTGCCACTTGTTTTCGTTCGCCCGGCGGAATGATTACGCGGGATACGCGTTGAAATTTTATGCCCGAAGGGGGGAGAGAGAGAGGGAGAGATAGAGGGAAAAAGAGAGAGATTACAGGGCGAATGTACGCGAATGGATTTCCGGATATGTGTTGCAATATTTCTCGCTCGCTGGCGTAATAATATAACTGTGTCGAATGCAAAATATAGAAAGAGAAGGATTTCGGGGTATTGAAATCCAAAATAACGACTAATCAATCTCGGCAAAAATAGAACGCCGTAAATAATGCAGTGTGCCCGGAATATATAACGATTCTCTTTCCGTCTCACCGCCATTGCCGCGATTTTATTTTTTCATTAATCTATTCAATCTTGCACAGATGGGGTCTGCGTTGCCAATAATAAATTAGTATCGAAAAGAATAAATCAGACACTTAACTGTCAACGAGCTCTGAAAGGCTTCTTGAGTATTCTATAATATCTTAAATGTATTTAATATTTATAATTTAATAAGTAGAAAACTTAAACATCTTTTAATTCGATCGGCAATCGAAATATCCTTAAATTACGACTAAAAATGTTTTCGCGACCTTCACTCGAGCAACACGCCGTGTAATTATATATATTTGCACGGTCTTTGCGCGTTTTCTGCTCAATGTTATCGGACAAAAAAATTCTCTGGAAAAATATCGCTTTTCCATCGTTCTCTCATCAGATAGGAGATCCTCCCCCTCTCTCCGCCTTGAGTTACGAGATTAATATCTTTCGCATATCTTAATTGCTCGGCAATTTTCTAAGCGGCCAGTCACGCGAGCAACGATAACGACCGATGATAACGGGCGACGATTGCGGCAATCGTCGCCGGTTCTTCGAGAGGGTAAAAGCGTCGTCTTGAGCGCATCTCAACAGCCTCTCGTCCAATTACAGCGTGATTGTTCTCGGTCTTGGCGGGTCTCTCGGGGGTGCAGATTAACTGGCGGTCCGACTTATGCGGCGCACACACGCATGCACGCACGCGCGCGCGTAGTCTCGCATTCGGGCGAGGAGAGGCACGCAACGCTCCGGCTGGACACGTCCATCAGCGTCACGGAAATATTTATGGCGATTAATCGGACGGGGCCCGTTAATTACGTAAGAAGATCAACGGATTACGACGCTGCGCTTTTCGCGAGACGACGTCTCCTCGACGAAGACTGTCGAGACGTTGCCGTCGCCAACGTCTTCTTACCGACGCAACCGCTTCGACAAAAACCCGCATAGAAATTTCTCAGGATTTTCCCAGACAACAGCGTAGATTAAAATGCCCAAAATAGATAGTCTCCACCAATAGGGGGAATCCCATTCTTATCGCAAACATAGGCTTCTTTCCTGCGATGCTTGCCGCGTCAGAGTTGAGTAGCAGTTTGACTGAATATCAGATTAATAAGCGCGGTTATATGTTTTAATGTTACTACACGGAAAAAAATAATTTTGCTGATGTAACGAAACCATCATTGTTACTGCAGATTCGTTGCATTAGTGGTAAAATTTTATTAACAAAATCAAATTAACGATTTATTCGTAGAACAAAAACAGTTTTATTACCAGGAAAAAAATGTTTTCTGGCTGAATTTATTATTATTATTTTATTAAGTAAATAGGAAAGCATAATTATTTCCACATTTTTACAATATAAAAAAATTAATAATATATTTAACTTGAGAGTTTCGTATATTTTGTCCAATCGTAGTGTAAAATGTGGAAGAATGCTTGAGAAAACGTTGACAATACTGGATCTCGAATTAGATTCCGAGAAATTTTCTATGTGGGAAGAAAAGAAACATCGATCTTGCGCCTCGTCTGAGAACCGTCGAGTTTCGGTCGAGTAATTCTTAGATATTTCAAGATCGAAGTGCACACACACACACACAGAAGTAACACGACGAGTCCTCAGACTTGACGAGAACCTTAGATCCTGAAACGAGCGGATCGCGATCCAGGCACCTGTGCGACGGTCGCGCGTAATTCATCAGAATAGCGCATTAATATTGCAGGGAGGATCTTTCAGATATGCGCTCGTCAATGTTTCACCGACAACGCTTACCCAATTTCCAATTCACCGCCGCCTGAATTAATCAGCCGATCGTTTGGTCGGCATAGCTATTTGCGTGAGATTAATCGTGCGACGTTTCGGCTCGGAAACGCAAACGAGCGCTGTGCGGAATCCGAGGACGTATGCAGGCGTATCGATCGATCGAGCGTCGCCGGCAGGCGTTTATAGCGCGGCGGGAATACTTCGGCTTCTTGTCCGACGTACGCACACGTACGTTACAGTATCACGTGTGAAACGTATCATTTCGCGCGTGCACGAGAGCCGCGTGTAATATCGGGTTATCAACGCGTCCCGCCGACGCGACGTAAGATCCGCTCATGTTTTTTTACAGTTGCGAAAGAACGAACAGACGTGCACGTAGAAAGGAACACCTTCGAGGCCAAGTTTAATGTCACGAGACAGAAGGAGAGAGACAGATGCCACACGGTGGTGTCTCAAACATATGTAACGTGTCGTGGCTCGCTATTAGGCACGATGTAGAGAGTTGTCGCAGCCGTAAGAAGGGTCTTATCGAAGCGACTGAATGATTAATCGCGAACGTCACGTAACAATATTGGACGTGTCATCATGCGTGTTGGGCGTCTTACGTAATTAATATATTACGTTATTGTGCAAATATTAAACGTATTCGAGAAATGTACATGCATACATAATGTATGCGGTAAAACTCGGTTCTTTCCATGCTTCGATATACGTATCGTCAGCTCGGATTTGCGTGTTTTCCAGACAGTAACAGCGCAGATTTCGCGTTTTCCAATAAGTACCGATCCATTGACCATACCAACTTAAGGAACGCGACTCCTGCTCTGCGGAGAGAGAAGCTACATCCCTACCCCACCAGCTGCTCGGCAGCGTCTGCTCGCGCCGAGCGGGGCGTCGGGCGTTTAAACGGGCACGCGCTGAAAAGGGCCGAGTAGGGGTCGGCCAATGAGAGTCGCGTGAGCCGTGGGTGCCCGGGCGGAGCGTACGGATATACGAGACGCGGCACGAGCGACCTTCTGTCAAACGGCGTCCGACCGCCGAGGGAGAAGGTCGTGCGATCGAGGGAATATCCTTCGGGAAAGGAGGCCTCTCTCCTCGGAGTTTCCTCGCGTCAGCTTCCTTCTCTTTCCTTCCTCTCTTCTTTCGGCTACTATGGAGACACGACGCGAGAAGCGACAGCCGCAGCGCTGAAGAGCGGTGTCCTGAAACAAAGAGGGAAGATGCTGCACGGCGCTTTGCCGAGGGCCTTCCTGGCCCCCGGCCTCAATTACTTGAGCTACTACAGTGAGGAAGTACACCCTGCTTACGCCGCGCCACCCGCCACGTGGCACATCCCGATGGAGGACCCGTCTTCGCCGGTGTACTCGCGAATTCCGACCGAGCATCACTCGTCGTTGCAGTCCTGGGAGTCCTCGAGGTCCTCGACGCCGTGCCCGTTGGACTTGTCGCTGAAGCCGCCGAGCACTCCGAAAACGGAGGAGATGATCGAAGTGGGCGATGAGAAGGACCTCAGGACCCGCGAAGACGATCAGCAGCTGGTGGTGGACGATTTCGACACCTTGCGCAGCCCCTCGGCACACTATGAGCGGCTGATCTTCAACAAGGAGTCCCCTCGCCTCCATGACTCGGTGATGGACAAGGTTCATCTGCCCGAAGAGAGCACCCGACTGCCGCCGTATCCCAACGACTTCAGCTCGAAATACCACCAGAAGCTCTTGATGACGAGTCCCACGCAATCGATCCAAGGTTACCACCAGCAGCTGCTACTGACGCCGCAGCACCATCTTCAGGGTGTGCACGCGCCGATGACGCCACCCAGCACCCCGTCGCCGCCTCAATGCCCCCGGAGAAGAGTCCGGGAGGAGGACCTCGCGTCACCGTCCTCGGGACTCGCCGTCTCCCTCGCGACCCCGAAGCAGAGCAGCGCGGAGAAGAGCAGCAACGGTCAGAGACCGAAGAAGAAGCACGCCAGACGACTCAAGTTCGACGAGGACACCAGCAGCCCGGTGTCGGGCACGGTGATCTTGGGTCCGGACGAGGCGGTGGTGACCGGCGACATCGATCCCGCCTTCAACATCGTCGAGGTAACGGAGGAGGCGCGAGCCGAGCTCGCAAAGATCGAGAACCGACTCGGTCCCTATCAATGCAAGCTCTGCCGGCAGCTTCACGAGGACGCCTTCCAGCTGGCGCAACACCGCTGCTCCAGGATCGCTCACGTGGAGTACCGTTGTCCCGAGTGCGACAAGCGCTTCTCTTGCCCGGCCAACTTGGCGTCCCATCGACGTTGGCACAAGCCGAGACTGCCGAACAACGACGGCAACTCCTCCTCGCCGTCGTCCTCGTCCACCTCCACGTCGGCCGCGGAGATCCCGTGCACCCGATGCGAGGCCAAATTTACCAGGCAGGCCGCCCTGAGGAAGCACTTGGCCGCTCAGCATCCTGAGACCAACAACACCGGCAGCAGTAACAGCAGCAGCGATGCTCAGGACGCCGTCGTCAAGCCGGAGGTCGTGCAGACCCTCGCGGCCAGCCAGTTGACCAACGAGATGACCTGACACCAATTTCCGGCGAGACCCCTGCCGAGACGACCCGGCCTCTACTGGAGATTCGGCCTTGACCTGTGAGAGCTGCCTTCCCATCAATTCGCTCCGACGACGTCGTAAGTGTGAGTGCACAATCAAAATGATCCGCGTGCTCGTTTGTAGAATATTAGAGAAGAAGACTGGAAAAAGAAGAAAATAGGAAAAAAAAACGGAGAGAAAAGAAGGGAGCGCTTTTCTTAATTTCTAAATTACCTAATCGCGATGTTCAAAAGGTTGCTAATGTGATCAGACGTTCTCGGAACATTTATCTCGCGAATTTTTGGATTCATTTATACCGCAAACTGTCGTATATACGCGCCGAAGGGGAGGGGAATTTCAAAGTCCTAAGAATAGAACTTGGACTGATAATAACTTTTAGAGAACGCTCGGATGCACACATTCGTTATCTTCGCGGCAGTGATGCGACGCGTGCTTTCGTTTGGCCATTATAGCAGATTAGATCGGAATCCGCGTTCTGAAATCAATAGATTTGGAATTGTTAGGGATGTAACGTAAGAGATTACCATTGCTATGTAAATTTGTCCACTCAGGATCTGTACCGGGAAGAAACAGGGTCGTGCATCACTATTGTACGAATCAAATATAAATTTGTATACATGTGTCGATCACGCGTAGGTGATAGGAAAAGCTGAAAATGAGAGAGAGAGAGAGAGAGAGAAAATCATGAGTAAAATATAAATTCCATTGTGCGTGTGTGTGTGTTATTAAGAATCGTAGATGATACATTCATAATTGATAACATATTCATGATTAAACGCGGTCACGAATCGCGAGAGAAAAAGAGAGAGAGAGAGAGAGAGAGAGAGAGAAATACCGAAATACGATAAGCACATTTCGAGATACGATCGACGCAAATGTTTAACACATTTCTCGCGATCAGATGATTATTATAATGGACAGTGCGAAATCGGCTGTAAAATTGTGTGAGAAAACGCGCGCTTGTAATTAATAGTAATACGCGATTTACATCGAAACGTTATATAACGCGCGGTAAAATTACGCGAATCGTGTCAGATAAATTATATTGTACCATCGGGCTTCGGTTAATTACACGGCTAACGTAGTAATCGTACAGCAGCTGTAACTGTCGAAGAAACTTCGGTGTGTCCGCGCATACGAGGCACGTTTTTGTAAATTTTTGTAAAATTTCGCGGGCGATGTAATCGCGAATGTGCGAGCGAGCGTGATGTAAATCTGTATATATAGCACGTGCGATGTGTGTACATAGCGAGGCGCGATTAGGATAAGCGATAGAGACTATCTGACACGGCGATCTCAATTTGTCTAGCGTTAAGTCGTCCACGCCGCGGTTAGGCGTCTATTAGGTATTACGATACACTCCTTAGGCTCGCTTTCGCCAACGTCGCTCGGCCTCAGCTTAATTGATTCCCCGTCTCTTTCCGATCTAAATTACGCACGAAACGCGAGCTCGGTCGTAAACGTCGCGCTCGCTCTTCCTCATGTGAGAAATAACTTCATCCTTATTTCGGGCGCGTGTAAGTGTTAATAACACACGCGCCATTTCAATGCGTCCGACGTTGGCGAAGTCGACGATTAGTCTTACATTTAGCGCACCGATCCCAGCGATCAATCTCTCATACAGCTGAAATCAAAGATAGTTAAGGCGCTCGGAATACAGTTCGAATTCTGCGACGAGACGGTGCCGGGAGCAAACTCGAGTTTCGAAAGTCAGCATTGGACAATCTCCTTTGAGAGATCAACGGGAGGGAAGAAATAACGAAAGTCTGATAGATTAGGTCTCTCTACTCACGGTTGAGAAATTCAGTTTCAGTCGTAGAATCTAGTCACGTTATTAGAATTAGAGTAAGTCCTAGATATAGATGAGCATATTGTCTAGTCACCACATTATAATCCGTTGCAATCTACCTTAAAACGACGAAGATTTACAGGAAAATAACGAACATTGCAATAAAATATGTCTCTAATCGTAGAGACGAAGCTCTGAATGGTGATGACGTGATCAACGTTTAGTCAATCGGGATATACCTCCATTTCTAGTCGCACAGATCGTCCTTATTATTCATCCTTTTCACAATAATAACGTCGTTTGTCGCTTGAGTGCAATTTTTCGTTTGCATTATCTTTTGAGTTTCGCATTATCGATCGCTCCGTTAATTCGGAGCGGAAGAGTACTTTCTAGTCCAAAGCGTAGCTTTTAAGTGCCACTGCACTAGACGTTTCTAACGCGAGGAGCAGATGTATTTAATTGATATGTACATAATCTAGTCCGAATGTAATCTCTAGTTCGCTATGATAGACGTTAGTTCGGAGAAGCATGCCTCTTTAGGAATTAATAATAATTATCAGTTATTTCTAGTCTAGCGTCTCTAGTCACTATTACGAATAGATAGAGAAGGAGGGGAAGGAAGAGTGAGAGAGAGAGAGAGAGAGAGAATGTGACGTGAATTAATTTGCAATTCGGGAAGAATGCAATTTTAAGTTTGAATTTAATGCGCATGGTCCACCAAGTTGGACTCCATCATTCCGTGCTTCAGTTGCAATAAAAAGATATGTCGTGAGGAGGAAATATCGACGGTACATCCGTCGAGGACCTTGTGAAATTCCCTTCTTCATCTCTAATTAACGAGCTTTTCATTAGTGTTCGACGGACATTAGTAATCATTCATTCGCAGTGTATAAATCTAGTTGTAGAATTATACGAAACGTAATACGTGTTATCCCTATCCATAATCCATAGTTTTAAGACTGTAATATTAAGTACACGTCGTAAGTATATTTCGTTGTATAATTATCCAGAAATGGTGAGATAGGTTTCTAAAGCACTACATGTACTAGGAAGAAGAAGGAGGTGCACCTCTAGAAATTGTATATAAAATACACACGCACATACATATATACACGCGTACGTATGTATAAATGTATAATATCGCTGTATCGATCGTATCTTGCGACAGACCTCGACTTGCATGTATTACGTCCGATTACTTTGCGTTAAATTAATTTGCGGATGCGTTCGCTGTCTATATCTGTACATAACTTCTTGACTTATTAAATACACGTCTCTCAAAAATGAAGCTGTTCATTTATTTCTGTAATTCATACCTGTCTAACTTGTATATAATAAAAGATATTAATATAACAATAATATCGATATATAATAATAATATATTTAATGTACGTAATAACTCAAACACAATAAATAAAACACTTGATTTTTTTTCATATCTTTTATAAACTTTTAAAAGAAGAAAATACCTATGGAATTTTACAATTATTTTAAAGCTGTTTTTCATTTTATGTCACGCTTTTTGTAGGTCAGTGCAATTTTTCTTCATACTGTTCGCCCGCATATTATTCATAGTTATCATCTGTAAAACTACGACATTCAACGTCACAAAGAGAACATAGAGTTTTATTTTGTCCTTCCTACGAAGATTTCGCGGCATCGAAATCACGTTACAGTGATCGTCACGATTATACAACGATCAAGAGAGGGAGGAAGACAGAGAAAAAGAGAGAGAGAAAGAAAAAAGTTATATGAATCTTCAGGCGCAGTATTGTCCAGGGATGAGATGCCCTTCCATATTACTCCACTATGTGTCGCCATAATGCCCCTCCGTAGAATCCATACAGGAGGGGATTGGCGGTCCTGTAATCTTCGCGGAACCTTTGTGCCGACCGAATAAAGAGACGTGTCGCGACCCCCATGGGAAGAGAGAGAGAGAGAGAGAGAGAGAGAGAGAGAGAGAGAGAGAGAGAGTGAAAGTGAAAGAGAGCTTTAAACCTAAGAGGCTGATTTCTCGAAATCCTCCGCAACTGTTCGCTAATAGGTTCCATCCACTTCATAAATTCTCCCGTCTTTCCATAATCAATCAAACGCGACTAGTTAATCAAGAATGAAAAAGAAAGAGAGGATTAGATAAATATTCGGAGAGAGGTGGCTTAATCGGCAAGTTGCGCGTACGAGAGATAGAAAGTATTAGAATAATATCTTATAATATTCATTTACTATATTTAAACGCATAAATATACAACAATATCACCGATTTGATTCGACACGATTCCGCGCTACTATTAATTACGCTACTATTAATTATATATATAAATATGCTATTTCGTCGAATTTAATTAAATATTCCGCAGTCGCTCATTAGTGAATTAGTGACGCCAAGTCTTCTCACTAATGCACCTAGATTCTACTTGGTGGGTGCGTTCTTCAATTATAAATTTTCATATCTACGTCGAAAGGTATGGCACCGCAATAACGTCGTTAATCCAATTCGTGTGGGCGATCGGGATATCCCTGTTAGGAAGCAACCTTTCGTAAGCCAATTCCACAACGAAGACCAGGAAGTCCGACGATAAATCTCCAAGCTTCCTTCCCTACCTCCCTTCTACTCTCTCTCTCTCTCTCTTTCTCTCTCTGCTCCATTCCACGCCAAACGGGAATTCGATTGGCGGTGCATTTCCTGGAGACAGGGATATATCCAGGTCCGAGATCATGCCGACGTCCTGGGAGGACAGCCACAAAGGCATCACCGAATCTACTTAGCTGCTGAGACCTTCTTCGGAGTTCTTCTCACCTTCCTCCTCCTTCCTTCACGGACCGATCGACGATGGAGCGGCAGCGTCGTCGCGCCAGGGTGGCGTACCGTACATAGCGCCGTGCAGCAGAGCCAACCGGTCGAACGTCACGTCGCTCACAGGAAGCAATTTCGCAATTTTCCTCCTTGACTTTGTCATCTTCGCTTTGCTATTCGCCCCGGCGAAATAGAATTTTCCCAGACCGCTCTCCGGCGCGCTCACGACGACGACGTCGAGATGGAGTGGCGACAGAGGCGGCGGTCGCCTCCTCCTCCTCCTCCTCCTCGAGTGCAACCTTTATATCGACGTGTCTTCGAAGAATTTCCAGAATCGCTTCTCCCGTGGGAAGCTTCCCTCCGGCGTCTTGAGTATGTTTGTGAGTGTGT